TCAGAAGGGAGGAAGGAAGGGATCTATCTGGTCTGGAAACTGTTTTTATTACATCACTTGTGCATACCACTTAGAGGGAAAAAAAACTTCAAACTACTTCAGAAGATGGTTTTACCATGTTTACAAGAAAGGTGATGTTAATGCTTTCTAGGAAACCTTAAAAGAGGCTGAGCCATCTTGCATTACTCAGTTATAAAGATGAGAACAAGAGAATATAAAAAAGTCACTCACTGATCAGGTAAATTGTAGAACCCACTTAGCCCTCTGTCAGAGAAAAAAGACACTTGATTAATTCAATAGGCAGGTTTTTAATAGTGATGAAAGAAAATTTCTTTGTCCCTAGCTATCACTGAGTTCAAAAGTTTGATGGGATCTCAAAAAAGAACAGGCAGTCAAGATTTATTAGAACTCCCACAAATTCACTAAATTACATTTTAAATTAGAAGAATTTAAAAGCCTATGGGGTTTTAAAGAACTGTTAACCAACCTGGAATCATCAGCTACATTGGTATTTCCTTCAAAATCAGGCATTAAAAAAAAAATATTCCTCAAATGTTTGAAACTTTCTTTTAAAGCATCTGGTTGAAGGCAGCACAAGACATCAAACCACTCCCAACCAGAATACCAACTCCTACGCTACCCAAAACAAAATGACAGAGAGACAAAAAGAGACAGTTGTCCCAGCTCTGAGTAAAGATATCCTCACATTCCAGAAAATCTTTTTGGACAGTGCTTATCAAGTAACAGCACTTGCCTCTGTCTCAAGTGAGAATTAATCCAAGTCAAATCTGGAAAGCAGGAGGAGAAAACTAAACAGTAGCAAATACAGGGTAAGTGACAAAACAGCAGCTACTAAAATTTTCATGTTAGCATCTGAATGACTGTTAATTTGCTAATATCCAATTCTTGAATCCAAACTCAGAACCACACCAAAAGGAGAAAATAGTTCCAAGGATCAAAACCATATGGCATCTGGTCTGCCATGTCCTTTGATAAGGCACTGCTGCAGTCCCAGAAGCCTAAAGTACAGCAATCACTGCCACCACTGTCACAGAAAGGTCAAAGAAGAGACACTAAACAGATGAAAATCGGACAAAGACTGAGAACAAAACAGTTTCTGAGAAAGACTGTAAATGAAAGACCTTTTCTTTCTAAAAATCTTTTTTTTTAAATCTCGAGACAACACAAAAGCCTTTCCATTATAACGCAGAAACAAAGTGTTCCACAGGACAGCAAAGATCACCCATTTGGGGGTGAAAAAGAGCAAACCAAAAACCAATGAACCAAAAAAATCCAACACAAAAAGACAAAGAAAATATTACTTATTTCAAAACAACATTTTCTGCCATAGTTTTTTAGATCCTTGCTTGGTTTCCCTACAGTCCTTTCTAGAGAGCCCACTAATCACTTAAATTACTGGGAAAAGTTAGCAGGGTGTTTACTTCATATTTCATAAAATGAATTTCATATAAAACTTATATTTTTAATAGTTTGCATAGCACAAAGGATTTAAATTTTCTTTATTTGCTCCAAATGCCATTTTCACAGTCATGATATTTATCATATGGCATAAAAAACATCTTCTCTATGAAGAAAACATAAAATCTGCAGTCTATCACTACAATATATTATCATTAAATGCTGCAAAAAAAAGATAAGAATGCAAAGCCAAATCTTCCCCACAGAGTTTATTTATATGTAACACTAAAGGAAGCAAGTGCAAGACAGTAAAATGGTATGTACCATGCCCCATCTACTGGCAAGACGAAGCAGCTGGATACAGTTTTATTATACAGGATCCCAATGATTCAAGAGATGCTAATGCTTTCTGAGCTAACGTGTATCTAAAGCACTTAATTTAGCAAACACACTGAACTGCACGCTGCTGGTAGTTTCCTTTTCCACATAGCTCCATAAAAAGGCAAATTAAGAACTCTTCCCAGCAGTGCCCAGAGACAAGAGCCAATGGGCACAGACCGAAATACAAGACACTCAAAATTAAGAAAAAGAATTTATTGTTTGTATCCAAGCACTACAAGAGGTTCCTCAGGCATGACACCGAGCCCTCATTCTTGGAGATTTTCAAAACACGATTGGACAAAGCCTTGAGCAACCAGTTCTGAGGGGAGCTAGACTAGAACATCTCCAGAGGTTCCCTCCAACCACTGTAATTTTGTGATTCTATAATCATAAAATTATTTATATCAGACTTCTGACATCTGTCCCATTCCAAGTTCCCACCAGAATACTTGCACTTTCCTCAAAATACACAGTCGATAATGGAAATACTTTAAATTGTGGCAGAACTTCTCCAAATAGATTTTCAGCAACTTCTAGTAATTCAATACTTTTAAAACTCATCTATACTGTGAGACACAATCCACACAGCTGTACCTTCAATAAGGGAAATGGAAGTTGCAGATGAAATGTAACTCAGGAATGTGTATCACTATGCGTTCAAACAGAAAAATTACTTATTTACCACATTTCCAACAGCCCATCTGGTCCAATCAAATTAACAAAATATTTGATCTAACAAAATTTGATCTAAATTATCTAAAATACATCAGAAAAATTAAATAAATCACAAAATAACAGGTAACTAAAAAACTACATAATTTTTTATACAAAATATAAAACTTCAAAAAACAAACCAACAAATATTAATCCAACTCTCACTCTCTACTCTACTAGCCCTGATCAGGATCCTGAATTTGGCAAGGCTGCTGCACTGTCTGCAGTCCTCTCTGTTTTTAGAGAAGATATTTGACAATAATTTCTTTTAGAGTTCTCAGGTTTGTCATCTGAATTAACCTTTGTGCAGCTCTTTTCTAAAATACTGTAAAAAAGCCTTTAAAAACAGCAACAACTGATCAGGAAAATGAAGTTATGATTGGTGATCCTTTCTTTAGATTCTTCTAAGGGAAAACATTACTTCAATTTCGAACAGCAGAAAACATGCAATTATTTTCAGAATTATCAAAAAGTACGTTTTTATCCTGTTTAAATAAAATACTTAATAATTTTTCTTGTTACTCTGATTGTGCAATACATTTTAGTTTTTAAAAAAATACTATTTCATGACCATAAAAAAATTCCACTCTCCCCCTAAAATAATCCCTCTTCAGAAATCCCTTCTCCAAACCTACTTCTTCCATTTAAACAATCACAATCTGGAGTTTCATTTTCTGCTATTTGAGCTCTCCACAATCTGCTCAGTTCTGCTCTCACCCTTTTCTAGCTTATCCTCCAAATACTCTTTTAAGACCGTTTCTCTTCCTCATTTTTAGTCTCTGCTGAACTGACCACATCAATCTTCAAGAGTGCCCGTGTACTACTTGAATCCTTTCTGCAGATTTCTGATTGCTCATCAATTCCTGGTTCTTTCTCTTGATTACTAGATGCATCACATCCCTCCTGGACTAGTTACCTTTCCTGGACTCTGCCTTAAAAGGCAGAGTTTCATTTGATCGTAGACCCAAACACCACTAAGCCTCAATTTTTCTTGCCTTCCAAGCTAGATCATGAAAATACCAACAGGATCAGTGCCTTAACAGTAACTTTGTTGTTTGCACAGAGACACTGGCTATTACCTGCAGCTGATGGCTGGAGTTTTCAAACAACTGCTGCTGCCTGCACAACAGAGGGGAAGCGAGAGAGGTACCGGAGCTGCTTTGGATGCGAGTCACCAGCAAGGGCTGCTCTGCCCCTTCCCAAGGGATGTCCAGCTTGGAGGTCTATAAACCCCACCGTCTGCTGCTCAGCATGCACAGCCAGCAAAGTGCTCTGTAGGGCAGCCAGAGGGAAAAGCTCCATCCTCGACTTCACAGGAAATTTAAAAAAATTAATTGGGAATCCCTTCCCTACACTCTCTGTTTTGCACGAGCTGCCAAATGAATAAAGAACAGCTTGGATCCACATCATTAATTTATTATATAACAATTTATTCTAACCATAATTCTGTACGATTGACTTTAATTCCTTTAACGGAAGAAATTTCAGCTTCGGGAAATAAAATCATACACCTCTAATTAATTAAACCATTTGACATCAACGCTATCATTCATACATAAACAACGTTCATCTCTGGGCAGTTATCACCATGCCTAGAAAAGGATTTCTCATCAAGGAAAAGCACCATGAAGGAGAAGCACATAAGACCAAAATGAAAATTTGACCGCTTCCATCAGTTTGCCATCAATCAGCAATAATTGATAATGCTACTAATAATATATTAATATTGGACTCCACATCTTCAGCAGTAAAGCCAGGTGCAACCATTAGTATACTCCCATACTAACTGCCTCTCATAGCCTTTATTTGCTTTATAATGAAAATATCTGCTATGTATTCAACTGTTCTAATCAACTTACCTCTTGAAAATAATTAGCAGTGCCTCTGATTACCCAATAACACCTCACAATCCTAGAGACTCTGATCACTTAACTGGATTAATTCAGTAGGCTCCAGGAAGTGTATCTTAACATCCTCCAGTAATGGTTACTGACTGTTGAAAACCATTGCCATAAAGGAAAATACAGTTAAATTTGCAATCTCCTCTCTAGCTTTCAGCATGACGCTGAATGTATTGAAGGCAGGAATTCAATGCAGTGCAGGTGAGAAACTATTAAGCAGTGTAGAGGTATTTACCTGCTAATACACAGAGTAAACAAACCTGAAAACTCATCAAACCACTGAAATATGTTCTTGGATCCGAGTTGTCTTACACTGAAAACTGTGGTTTACAACAAAATATGCAAAATATTCATGCTGCATTAGAAAAATAACTATTCTTTACCACAAAACTAGAAATCCTGCTTCTTTACAATTTCTTGGGCAGGGATTTTATGTACTCCTAGAAGGAGCATTTCTTAGTTCCATGTGTTTCATGTCTAAAATTACTTCTGGAAATAATCAGTAAGCAGCAGTAGAGACACATTTCCAATGTCTGGCATTGAAAGGATCTCTAATTTTGCACAGTTGTCACCCCAGGTACTTACAAACACATTTATTTGCAGAGTTGGGCCACACAGCCATGGTGGGTTTTTGCTTGCTCCGAAATGCTTCTTCAACTCTGGCTTCTGTTTTCCGTACAGTGGAACCATGAGGATTTACCTGTTCTGCTGGCACTGAGAAGCCTGCACACAAAAGACAACCATACCTATTTAAATAAACCAAGCTGCAGGAATCTACTGAATCAAAGAAGAAACTTGGAACACCATACTGCAATAGGAATACATCCATTAATGTTTAGCTGGACATTCAAAATAAAGATTTGCATCAAGAATATTTGGTTTCTGTTGACAAAACAACTTCCTGGTTGCATGGTCTTAAACTGTCAGCTCTGATGGATTAGAAAAATGTGACTGCCACTGGTCCCAGAAGACTGACCCTTCTATTCATATTTCCTCTACATGCAAATTCTTACTGACCATTTCAATCTTTTCCTTATTTTAAACAGTTTTAAAATAAGTGGCAATTTAGAACGGCATTGTATGCCATATCAAAAAGAGTATCTGAATAAGAACCTTGTATTGTCACTGTCATCTGTGTTATGTAAAATGGATCCATTTCAGAGTCAATATGAGCTCTTAAATTAAGAAAATGCAATTCTGCTTTTAACAAAAAGTGTGGTTTGCTTCCTGTAATATAACTTCATCTCATAGCTTCTACTGCTTCATAGGTTTTTTAATTAAATTCTAAAAAAGCAAACTTTCATATTGGTTAAGCACATTTTAAAGACATAAATGAATATCTGAAGTTCTGTATTTGTGAACTAGAATTTCCTATCCATCCACTAAAATGGTCTTCAAAATGTTATAACACATCTCTAATAGGAACCACAACCAAGCGATCAAGAGCTGAAAATAAGCTCCAAAACTGATGGATGCAGAAATTAAAATACTGACACAGAATCTCTTATCTCACAATTAATAATTACAGCATAGGTTTCTAGGTACTATTATAAAAACTTTCAACTGCATATCAAACATATTTCATTACTCAAAACAACAATCACTTCTACCTTTTTACTAGCTGGTTTCCACAAGTAGTTGCAAATTTCAATAGTCGAAGATATAGACAGTTGGTTCTTATTTACCAACTTAAAACTTGCTGTCCTTAGGCTTAACATTTTTCAACAATAGCACCTCATTTCAGTAACAGAGGAAGAAGAAATTCTAGTTTGACTTCTACATGCTGATTTTATTGTACAGTTTATGTGCAGTATTTTTGAATCTGGTCACCAGAGTACTAAGTAAAAGTGACAGATGTGTGGAGAACAAAACAAAACAAAATCAAACCAAAAAAAAAAAAAGGAAAAAACCCCAAAAACAACCACAACCCCACACCCCCCAAAAAAGCCATGTAGAACATACTTTCCATTTTACAACTACAAAAGATTGCTAAGTAACTTGCTGACAAAACTGTGAAGAAAATGGATATGAAGCTTTTTAGCTTTTTTCATCCCGTGCCCAAACTGCTCTGAAACAGGGTACGTGTCAAAGTCTAGACAAGCAGATGCACTGGGGTTGACCTGATCTGCTGTCTTGCTGAGGCTGTTCTTTACAGCAAAATGAGAATAATGGCAGAACTGATCAGCATTCACATCCTTTCCATCCACTACAAGGACCAGTGCCAAGACTATACCCCTGAGGTGTCATCATCCAGGTGCTCTGCACCACCATAACCTTTTCACACAACTCCTGATCCCTTGTGACTGCCTCCCAGCAGGCGGCTTCCTCAGACTCTAGGAGCTTGATCCATTTTCCTCTGTCCATAAACAGTTCATCTAACACAGCTTCTTCCATGCATTCCAAGTCTTTTGGGCTTGCTTTGGTTAGCACTCCTTTGTAACCCAGTCAGTGATCCTAGCCTTGCACGTTGTACAGCTGGACCGACTGCAAAGCTCAGCTGTCACTGAAACCACCAAGTGTGGGCCAGAGGCACATGCATCTTTAAGAGTCACCTGCAGGTACCTGTGACACTGTAATGGTTTCCATGCCAATGTACTGAATACACTTTGAATCCTGCCCCTTCCCATCTGTGAGTTGTTTTGTCCCACAAACCGGTGCTGCTTATCATGTGCCTGTACCTCAAGCCCCTCTCACACCAATGGTACCTGCTTTTTCTGATTTAACAAGTTCACTGCATGACACCATCAGCCTTAAATACGACTTAAGACACTGCCCTTCTTTCAAATGAGTTTGCAGGCTTTGTCTCCAGAAATATCTATTACTGGGCCACTGCCACAAAAGGAGGGCAGCATTCCAGTTCTTGCAACTTGCAAGAAAGGACTACAAGCCATAGAGTCATTCTCTGTAACAAAGAGCTCTTACAAACATTTACTTTAACCTCGGAAGCAATAACCTTTAACAGTCATGGGGACTTGGATAATTAACTGAGCACAGCTCACAGCATGATGCTGTGGCCAGAATTGTGAATATTCTTGTAGTTCTAATAGAAAAGTACAGAGGAGAAATGAAGGCATTATATTAGCTCTGTTTTACAGCTACAGTGAATTACAATTGGTTCATTTATCCACAATTCAAGACACACATTGGAAGCTTGCACAAAATTAGACAAAAACACGCATGACTGAATAGGAAAATACAAAGAATTCTATCTGTTTTAATCTGAAAGAGAGAAAGCCTATAGATACTTGCATAGTTCAAAGAAGATTATTAATAAAGGGTCTTCAATCTACCAACAGAAGTATTTCAAGAATCAGCAGCTGAAAGGTAAGACCAACCAATTCAACCTAGAAATCAAATAATGGAGCTTTTTACCAAAGCAGGAAACAACTTGCCAAGGTAAAGCTGGAATTATTGAAATCAGTGATCCCTAAATCAGCATGAAATTTTGCTCTAATGTTATAGTTCAGTGATTTTCAACCTTTTTCAACTTTCAAAAGTTTAAAACTTTTCCATGGAGGTATACTCTTTTTTATGCAAACTGATCACTGCTGCCACACCAGGAGTATGTTTGGACTTTTGATAACTTTTCCTGGTCACTTTAGAAGCTGTACACAGACTTACAAGGGTTGTTTCTTAACCAAAAAAATCAATATGCTACCTCCAAAATGACACTTGTACACAGACCAAGGTGAACTAAAAGTCCAGTGGCTTAAAGGCTGCTCTCCCTCACCATAATTCTTATTATATTTTACTACAGGCACTTTCAGAACACAGCTCTGGTTCCACCACATCCACATCAGAAGTTAGTACAGCAACCCTAGCATTTACTTGTTCACCAGGTTCTGTAGTACTGTCTGTAACAGCAGGCAATGCATCCTTCTTCTGGAAAGGATGATGATGTCCTATCAGATCAGCTCACAAAACAGGAAAAATGTGGAGGGGTTTCAAGGTCACTCACCCTTTAACCTGCACTGTCTGAATCTGACATGCATTCATTATTTCACATTAAATATAAATTTTTGTATGGAGACCGGTAAATTCTATCCTATATATGTACAGAAGCTTTTCCTGTTGCCCTTGTCCCTGGCCAGGTTGAGTTCTCTCAGGGCTTTAGGTTTCCTAACTTGATCCCAGGCTGCTCAATTCCTCTGTAGTCTTCCCAGGCTACCTTTTTCTGTTTCCACTCTCTGCAGGCCTTCCTTTTGTGTTTAAGTTCATCCACCATCAACTTGTTCATCCACACAGGCCTCCTAATGTGTTCACCTAACCTTCTCTTTTTTGGGAAACATCACTCCCAAGTTTGGAGGAGGCAGTCCTTGAGTATTAACCAGCTGTCCTGGGCCCCTCTTCCCTCCAGAGCTTTATCCCATGGGACTCTACCAAGTAGATCCCTGAAGCCTGCTCTCCTTTAGTCCAAGGTACTGAATTTTGCTGTGCATGACTCTTGCTGCCCTTAGGATCTCCAACCCCTCCACTTCATGGTCAGTGCAACCCAGGTGCTCTTGAGGTTCACATTCCCCTCCTTGTTGGTGAGAAAAAAGCCCAGCACAGCATCTCTTCTTGATAGCTCCTCTACAACTTGGAGAAGGAAGGTGTCCTCTACTCATTCTAGAAACCTCCTGAATTGCTTTTGCCCTCTGTGTTGTCCCTTCACACATACTGGGGTGGCTGAAGCCCCCCACAAGGCCCAGGGCTTGTGAACATGAGCCCATTCCTACCTGTCTGTAGAGGGTCTCTATGTGTGTTGTGTTATGATAACTGAAGTTAAACATACCTCTTTTTCTTCTTGCTTCCTTGATTTCTTCACACATCTTATTAAATTCTGGATCCAGTTCAGCAGCAATGATAGCATGAGCAGTGTCCTTCAAAGTACATGCTCTATGTCTAATTATTTTATCTAGAAAAAAGGACAGCACACTTTTTTATCACAATTACAAAAATTCCTCAGCATTTCTATGTTGGTTTGTATTGTATATTACAACACTGATACAAACAGAATAAGTGGGAAAAATTACAGATGCCTGAAAATGCAGATTAATCAATATCACTCAAAAATCACAACCCAGCTACTGAAGAGATATAGAAGTATAAACTGGTACTTTAATCCATGGTGGCAACTATAAACAAATGTAAACAGTGAATGATGAACACACCTAAACCAACTTGCCATAAGGTGTAGCCAGTTTCCACACGCAGATTTACACAGTATAATGGAGTGGAGTGCAAAGAGTCACAAAGTAACAGGAGACTTTTCTAAGAATTAATTTACCCTCTGGGGCCTAATAATAGTCACAGTTATACTGCCTACACAATCACACTGGACATCATCTGCATCTGTAAGGTAGACCTGCCTCACTTGCATTCCTTCCCTGTTGTTTTTTTCTTTAACCTGAAATTATTGCTTAATTATTATTTAACAACTGATCAAAATTGTGCTAAAACACATTATTTTATTCCTTACATTGAATAGGTGTTTCTCATTTAAATTCATTTTTTTAAAAAAGGGCAAGAAACAAGCCTTGAATGTGCTACATTTTCAGGCCTATTTGGGGAACAGAACAAATTGCCCACGCTGGAAGCCTAAATGAAACTCAGGAAAAACCAGACCCGTTCCCCTACCTTTGAAACACACAAAACAAATTATTCCACCACTGAAATTTGAAAAGTAATCATAACTTAATAACTAAGCCCATATGCAGAGAAAATTGGCATCTAGAACATAGCTTTTCAATGAAATCTACAACAGTCATTGTTCGACTTCAGTACAAACATATTTAATTTGTCAATCCATCCATACTGAATTACTTTTTCCAGCTGTTGCAGGTACTTCAACAGTAACCATCAACATTAATGTCTAGAACATATTCTACAACCAGCAGATTTAATGTTTTAATAATCTTTAAAGACAACAATTAAGAATATCACTAGATACTTATTTCACAATATTTGTAATTCTAGAAACAGCAGGTTTTACAGCTGGAAAAACTGTTGAGTGAAAGAGACTATCCAGTATCTAGCTCAAAAGAGTCCAACATTTTCTGGGGAGAACTACTGCCCATTAAATCCACTGAATGTTGGAAGGTTTTGTCCACATATTTGTGAAGCATTATGTTTTATGATCACAAAAAACCCCACACTGCATTAGTACCAGATGTAATTCTGAAATATTAAACTTAAAACTTTTGGTCAGGTAATAAATTTAAAGAAGCCCTTGCAAAGGAGGAAGGGATAGGAGGGGAGAGAAATAAAAAGGAATCAAATTGGGGTGTTTGACTGAACCACTACCTTCCTCTAACCCTGTGCTGGGCAAGGCTTTCCCCCAGACAGTGCTTCAGTGAGGCAAACACTCATGTCCAACATACAGTGGTTATGTTCCCATGCCTTCAAAAACATTTCCCAGTCAAACAAAGGAGCAAGAAAACCCCAACCTGTCTCACTACAGAACCTGTCTGATTTTCAAGCAAAGTAGCAGGAAAAAAAAATCCCCAAGCAGCCAGTTTTTGATATCCAAACTGCAGATAAAATCAGCCAGTCTGGTCAGCCCTTTGCTTTTCCAACTTAACAACAGGACAAAAGAAGGTACAGTGTGAGTCTTCTGCAAGCACAAGCAAGCAGGTATGTCCAGCTTTAAAGAATGTGAACATTTATAGATTAATATTCATTTAATGAATGCATTTGAATGCATGGAATGCTTCCTCTGAACAGCCATAATGTGCTGTTTTAGGTGTGTTCACAGAACAGCCCAAAAAATCCTGCATGCCAGAAGAGCAGTTAACAGCAGAGGACAGAACAATTTTTCATTGCCTCCTATCCAAAACTGAGCCTAGAAAGAGCCAGATCAATTTCTCCCAGTTCAGTTCTGACAGCAAGGAAAATCAAAATATCCCTAAACAGGTTCTCTTCAGATAAACTCTGAATGCCAGGTGCCCATCAAGGGCTTTAATTAGTTCACATCAACTGCACATTAGAAGTCCTCAAAAGTATGTTATCAAGAACACAAAATAAATGGACTTTTCTAGTTGAAAGAAAATAGTGCATCATAAACTGAAGAAATAAAGTTAATCTTCTACAAATATGATCTGGGTTCAAAAGGCAATCTATACCAGACTATACTGTATCTGGTCCACACATGAGACACTTGAAAAATGCCTCACAAAACCAAAAATTTGAGAACAAAAAAACAGAAAAATCAGGCTTTAACCTGCGAAAGCAATTTCAGAAGACGTCATGAAAAACTTTCTAACACATTGGACTACATTTGTAGATGGACCCTGATCTCCAAGTACCACATATATTAACTCTGCATTAAAAGGGTGCTTTGTGTTGATGACTCTTGAAGCTGCCAGCTGAAAGGCTTTCTTTTGGCAATGTGCACTGTAAGACAGCCCTAGCAAAGAGCACACAAGATCTTCTATCCTTAGTTTGGAGTATGAACAGCTTTTACATGCATTTCAGTCTACAAATTCCTTTTTAATTGAAAGCATCCCATCACACTTTGTCAAGACAATACTGTCTAATCTCTCCTAATCAGCTGCAACTCACTTCCTTGCCTGGTGATTTATCCTGTTTTATTTCTGTCCCCAAATATGAAGATTTTGATTTCTGTGTATGAATTTCATGTTCTAAGCTGACATGGAAATACAGCAGACCACCGCCAGATTGTGCGTGGATTCTCCACAGAGCACTTCAAATTATGGTGGGGTTTTGTTGCCTATAAAAATCTAGATACCCAAAAGGAGCTATCAAATTTGAAAGGAAACTATGAAATATAATTTATTAGAAAACAGCTCTGAATGCTGCAGTTTTCCTGCTCTTCTAATGTCCCCAGTGCACTCCATGCCTTAGAATACTAAAAGCACAGACCCTTAGGACTTGCTTATCCTAATTATCACAAGGCATGCAGCTTATCTAAATGCCTGAATAGCAACAGAATATGGAATTAAGTACCAGGCTTTCAGGTCTAGGTAGGCCAAAAAGAAGTAGGTTCTTACCTCCAGGATCTTTGTCTGGATTGTACTCCAATGCATTGCTGCAGATCAGGTCAATGTCTGTTAGAAAATCCTTGGCTGTTAAGTAGTTGTGTTTATCAATTTTGGTTATTACTGTTGATAGGTCCATTGGCTCTTTGATAACCTCAAGGTAATCTGAAACCTATAAACAAACAGCACACAAAAATGACACAGGACCTATTGAATACTGGCAATCACTTCTTTATACTTGGATTCATTCCACATGCTTAGCTCTAAGACATTAACTAAACATCTTGATTTCTAAGCATATTTATGTTAAAAATGGAAGTTTTATCAGGCTAAAAACATAAGACTTCCAAATCTGCTTTTCCTTCAGGAGCTCACCAATTTATCTTTCAAAATTAATTAAACAGTATTTTTGAAGCAGTACAACCTAATGTAAATGCATTTTTCATTTTAGACTAATTTAGTTATAGATTTTTATGGTGCTATAACACTGTCATGGAACTAAAAAGGCAAAATCCATCAATCTAACTTGAAGCCCTAGGAAATATTAGGGAAGCTCTATTTTTTTCACTTTTGTAGGTAAAGTTCTCATTAAACTTAACAGCCAAATTATCAGCTTTTAAATACCTTCTATTAAATAGTTTCTTCAATCACTTGTTAAACAAAGAAAAGTCAGGTTTTATTGATTTCAGATGTTAGATTGGCTGCACAGAAGGACAATCTAAAGAAAAAGCTTGGTGTCACAGTTTACTATGAGCTTAGATCATAACTGGAGATTCAGCAACCAGTGGAGCACACTAAAAAGTGTTTAACATAATTCATGATACCATAAGGGTCCCAGCCTTAATAGCCAAATGCATCAGCACAGCTGCTGTAATGAAGTTCACCCAAAAAATCAATAAATTTTTTATTAACTTCACAGAAAAAAAAAATGTATCAATGTTTCAGTGTGATTTAGATTACATTTAATTAAACACACTGGCAGCCTCTAAAAGAAGTACTGCATTTTTTTCTTTTGAAATCGTCCAGATATGACAGTCACTGTCAAAGCAATTAAGAGTTAAATACAGATTCAGGTCAAGCCATAATGGCTCTGTAAGATTTTTTTTTAAATATAGTGCCTGCAGATATATATTACAACATTATATATTACATCTCTCTCTCTCTCTACATATATATATATATATAGATAGATAGATAGATAGATATTATAACATTAATGCATTACTTCAGTAGACAGCAATGTGTCACCTAACTCCTTAAATACAGACATTGAAATTCATATTGACAAATGAAAATGGCAAAAATTCTCTTTTTGTCTCCCTTTATAGAAACATGATAGTATCTGGTTCAGGGATTGCAAAGCTAAGCCACAGGCTTCCTTTTCTTGTTAGCACAGCATCAGAAAATCTTCACTGGAAGCTGTAAATTGCTACTGCTTTAGACAGGGAAATTCTTGACTTATCACACAGCAGCATTCTCTGCAATGCAAGTAGGAGTGAAATAAACCTAACACATTTTTTAAGGAAGTCAAGCAGACAAGCTGTTGTAGAAAAAGAAAGGCTAGTCCTGTGCTTAAATGCAGCAGGTGGGACGAAAAGGATTACATTTGATTTCTGGTGCTGTGATATATTAGCGGGGTTCTGGCAAGTCTTCAAATAACAAATTCGCATTTTTATTCTCTTCATCTACAAAACATGGACAGTTACTTATTCTTTCTCTATGTGCCCTTATTCATGTAAGTTTAGACCACAAATTCTTGACAGAAAGGAACTACCTACACTACAAGTATGAAGAATTTCCACAATAATGGACCTCCCAGTTTCACAAGAGAAATTAAACCAAGGTACTGCTGAGACCATGCTCATACTGTAGGTTGCCACATTAAACAGCTCACCAGGTTCTCAAAACCAGTCAGCTATGGAACACTATGGAAAACTCAAATTAAGAGAGGACTGCACCAGCCCATAAAAGATGCGTGTTCCATCCTGCAAGGAATTTACACTCCAAATCTGCTTTTTACAATGCTGGTCTTCTGATGCCCCATATTCATCTTTTAATGTCTTCCAAAAGAGATGTTTCTCTCTTCAGAAGCAATTAGAGATTTCTTTTCAGTAAGTAAGCCTGCAAAGCTTGCAGGGGGCCAGCACCTGATCTCAAAGTCAGACCAAACACAATCCTATTCATACAGCAACCCCTGAAAACAGATTTGCAGATCGAACTGTCTCATCAGTTAGGTGTGTACAGTCCATAATCGACCAGTTAATGCCCTGTAATGTGCTACCATCTGTGATTAATGGCATCCACAGGCATTACTGCTGAAATTATGCAACAACACTATTAATGCTGAATGCATTACAGAACACAGATCACTTTCCCAATATTATCATGTCTATGATTACAATGCTGTAAAAGCTTTCATTAAAGAATTATATTTGTGGTTTTAAGTATTTCAGAAGCACTGGCAAGGGTAGGAGTGTTGGCATTTTAAAATGCTCATTTCATTTATAAAATGGACAGGAATGCACAAGGTTTTTCCAAAGGTCATTGGCAACAGAACATGTTCCAAATTCTTGCAGCATGGACGATGAGGCAGTGACTGTACCACCAGCTAAAAATCTTAGATTGGACAGATCATGGATCAAACATCTATTTTTCTAATTAATTTAACCATTTCCTTTTTTAAATCTGCAGTCTTTTTCTAGTATTTTCAACTTCATTGTTTGCACATTACTGAAACAAGACCTCTTCAATATCCACCGGTTTGCTGAAGATGTTAAAGCGTTTGTCGGTGGCCAGCCTCTTGGTGACATCCCTGAGAAACAGGCGCAGCTCCCGCAGGGTGTTCTCCTCCTGGTCCTCCATGCGCTGCTTCTCCGCCTCCGACAGCTCCCGGGCAGGACACGGCAGGGCGAGAGGGAGAACTTCCAGGGCACGAAGAGCTAGGGAAAAGAACAAGAAATCAGACAATGGAAACGTCAACAGCAGAGTGGCTCTTTGCATGATGCCACTCCAGATTTCATTATATGTATTCAATATGCATCGTGGCTATGTCACTGCATGCTTGACCCCACAGCTCTCCATCTTCAACAACTGTTAACTGTAACTATGAAATTTATTCTGGGTACTGATTAATGCTGTCACATGGTAATTAAACTAACTGTTAATTACCCACACCTCTTTAAAAAGGAAAGTAACACAAAATAAAACATTAGGGTCACATTATTATTGGTTTTACTGTAACTTAGTTTACCAGCCTGTTTCCTTCTTGGTGGGGGCATTGCTGCCTCATCAAGGATTAAGCCTTTGAAAAATCGCAATCTGTCTTCTTCACTTGGTCTTTGAATATAAAAAACCTCTTCATACTGGATTCTGAAAATACATTTCAGCTAAAAACAAAAAAAAAAAAGCCATAAGAAAAATGAGCCTCCACTGAAAAACACATGAATAATGACTATATTGTAATACTAGTAACAAACTTTTCCAAATCAGCAACAGGACAGGAGATGGTAAACTCTACCTAAAGCTGTGCTCACAGCAAAGGGAAAATAAACACTTGTAATTCTCACTGAATTTTCCATAGTAATGAAACTTGCAGTATCCCATGATCCTAACAATGGCCAACACTGCAGTAATAGGAGAGTAAAAAGGCAGAAAAAAAAAATCACAGAAAATGTTAAGGAGAAAACCCAGGAATCCTCCCCCTATCCAGAGCCTCAGAAAATGTAAAGTTCAAGGTCAGGCTTTTAAACTAAATCTGCATTTAATTATAGTGGAGTCATTTGTCAAAAAGAACAATTGGCATAATGAACAACTTTGTCTTCTCATCAGAGTGGCATGGAGCTTATGAAAATCAGTAATACGGACATACATCCCTCAATACGGAAAATTACTAACATTCAGTAATTATTACATTTTATTTCTGACATATTTCAAATTAAGTTAGAAAGCCACTACATAACAAAATTATTTTACATTATTAAAGCATTCAGAAGAGCACAGAACCCCCTATCAATGCCTCCTTCCATGATAAACTTACCTCTTCAGGCAAATCACTAAACATGGACTCAGAGGTAGACAGTAGAAATATAGGTGAGAAAGATGGTATATCTTGCAGCAAAGTTAGGAAAGTAGCTCTCACAGTTTCACTGACAGCTTCCCACCAATCACCAATATGAGGCATGTAAACTATACTTGGTACTGTTCTTCGAGCTTCACGAAAGATCTAATTAAAAGAAACAGTTGTATTTCAACTAAGGAACTAATTGTTACCAGCAGTTGTGAGTAACAAAGTTCTTGCACATTAGAGAATGATTCATATTTGTGGTATTTTCTAGACAAATGTTCCAGCAGAATAGAATTATCTAAAGACTTTTTAAACAAGTGTTTGTGACTCTTAGCTACAGAATTCAATTATTTTGTGTCAATGAGCCAAGGAGACTACAAAGCAACTACTTTGTTTTAAAAATATATATGCTTTAAAAACTTGCTATGACTGAACAATCAAAATGAAAATTAAACTGTTTCACAATTCATGCAATATTCACTAAAAGCTAGTTGGAAATGCAAAACACTTAAAACTAAGCACATGAACCTAGAACCATAGCACACCAATCCATACATAAGTGAATAAAATGAGTATCAGGCACTGAATACCCAGATTAAACTTACTTAGCACTAGGTATGTGATGAAGGGGCAGGTTAAAAATGTAATTACATTCACTAGTCACTAGAGAGTTTTCCATCACCCTCTAGAGACCTCTTTACTTTAAACAGGAAAATAGAAGGAGTCTATGAAAACCGAAAGTTACATTCCAGCTGGGTGCCTTTATATCGATACAAGCAGAATTACATCATTGACTCATTACAGGGGAATCTGAAATCTCACCTGTGCACATGACTCTTCAGGTGTTTTGGCACTGACTGAATAAAGGGCTGGCAGGTCCAGCCTGTGTACAGAGAATTTTTCCAGGGTGTGCAATAGTGCTGGAGCAAGGTGCGAAGTCTGACCTGAACCTCTTTCCCCGGAGAGCAGTAATCTGGGTCTGTAAGAGGTTGGCTGGTGATAAGCTGACCTGCAACAAAACAGAACCAACAGCCAATTAACACACCAGTATTACCAACAGATGGATATATAGGAGATCATTTAGAATCCATTAGACTTTCATTAATGGGTAATAGCTTCCTACAACAGCCTAAAAGATCAGCTAACCTGACTACCCCTGAATACTGCTTCAGGTGCCAGTAACTCAAGATTTCTCTTATCTTTGGTTTCACAACCATTTAATTCAAACTCATCCGTGGGAAGCTATGCATATATTAAATTCATTACTATTTTCATTATAACCAGTTTATTTAAAACTAATTCCTTGATCATATGAAAAGACTTATTGAATATCCAGTAAAGACAGCAATTTAATCATTCCAGTTCAGTCCTAACTATTTACATATCTCCTCAGTAGCCTCAGGAATCCCAGGTCAATCCTTTTATCCCTTAAAGTGCTGCCCAAGATTTTCAAGAACCAATGAACATTTCAATAGTTTCCTTATTTAAGGAAAAGGACCTGAAGTAGGGTTGAATAACATCACTATGCATTGTGTATTTTAGCCTATTTGTACACTTTTAGTCAATAGACTTCTGCACAGAAGGAAGATTTCAAAGAAAAACTGCAAAGGTAAACTTATTTTTTGGTTTTTTGTTGTTGAGAAGAACCTCTAAGCCCATAGAAGGGGTTTTGGGATTTTGTGTTTGTTTCTTTCTCTTGGTGTTTTTGCCCAATTTTATGGACAAATGATACATGAAGAAAAATGCATTAAGTTTTTCCATTAGAAGCCTTTTCCATTTATAGAAAACTGATTATAAAACCAAAAAGTTTTTAATTAATTTGCATTTTCTCTCATTAAGGCATTTCTACCTGCTCATCAGTGAACTCAGGCAGTGGAACAAGACTTGCTGGTATTACTTCATGTTAAACATTTTGGGACAGCAATGAAAACTGCTGATCTCTGGCTTTCAGTTCTGATGGTGGTGGTTACACACACAAGTAACTATCAGAAATGCTCAGAAAACAGACTGACAGAAGCTTACATACTTTGCAAAAATAAACACAGTCTTGAAATTATTTTATTTAAAGACACACATCCATACAAATATACACTGTTATTTTGGGGTTTGGCTTCCCCCTTTCAAACCTTGCAACAAAAGTTTAAATTTAGCATTAGAATACTTAACTATGTCCCTCCAACTTTTTGAACTTTAAGCCTTATTTTTAAGCATAGATATCCACAAATTCTGTTCTGGCATTATTTAGCACAAAAAATTTAGCAGTTTTCCACAAGATGGCTCTACTAAACAGTGCCACTAATGAACAGTTTTTCTAACTTCATTTTCTTTATTCAGCAAACTCCCTGCAGAAACTACCACATAAAGTAGTCTAAAAATATTCTTAACACAAAATCAAGACATTTTAATTATTGTTAATTACTGTAGTAAGTCAAATTTATACAGGAAACACTAATCCAAATTTCACACATATTTTCTAAATTCCTGTTTTCCTGAAACTTTCTATGAAAAACAATGAAAAAAGCACATTAAAAATGCTGAATACAATCATTATACATGATGCTTCCAAACAGCTGCATACACAGAAGCTCAACCATACTTTGAACCAAGAAAAAGCACACAACCCCTCCAAAAACTGAAAAGAACTCTTTTCAGTTCTTAATCTTTCAAATCAAAGTAGTTTGTTAAAATTGAAAATTACTGTTAGCATCTTTATTCCTAATCTACATATTGAAAAACATTTTGGATTCCAGTGTGTAGGTTGTGGCCTTTCCCAAGAACACCCCCACATCTAAAACTCTTGTCTGTGCACGTACATGTTTCCATTACAGAACACCACTGCCACCCCAAAGCAAAAGAACTTTTTTAGCTCTCCTGATGTAAGAATCTCTTGGGTTCATCTATCTAATTATATGCATTTAGAGAAACACTCACATTGTAAAATGAAGGTAGGGTTTATGTATAGCAGCTGATGACTGTTTCTTTGGTGATCCTGAGTGACAGCTCGTCTCAAAAATTGATGAAGCATTCTCATCTTCACTATCATCTAATATTAGACTTGGTACATCTGTTCCAAGAGATGTATTAATTAGAACTTTATCACTTCTAAGTACAAGTACAACAAACAAGACCAGATATTACAATTTTCTTTGTGTCAATTATAATAAATCCTCAAACATAGAAGAAATTAGTTAAAACTGTCTAAGTATAAGCCTTCAGAATAATAAGTACTTATTACTTCAAAAACCAAAACAAATTAAATACTGTAGAAGTCTAATCATAATTACAATTTTTTTTAAACAATCAAGATAAACAACTTCTCAAATACAAAAAAGTTTAACTTGTTATAAAATGCTTCCTTTGGGTTTATTTCACATCAAGGATGAAGCTATAAAATTTGTAATTCCTCAGACTACATAGAATTTTGTAATTATTTACTTGTTCCAAGTGTCCAAATTCTCATAGGTACACTTCATCTAAAATTATTCTCAGCATGACTACCTAGACAATGTATGTTTATGAAGAATTGCTTTCCATCTTCTGATAATCTGCTGAAGAGTATCAAATTACTTTTTATCAAAATCAGTTCAATGCAGCCCATGTTCACATACTATACCTTTACCTATTTTAATTCCCTTGCTAATATATTAGCACAATCAGCTGAAGCACTTTCTGTGCAGACCTTAAAAAATAAAAACTTCAAGGACTCGTATTCACAAGACACACTGCAGAGACAAAAAGCTGCAAAAAACAGAACAACCAGGTAACAGCTAAAAATCACGTACATTATCTCCCAGAGCTGCAATGGGATTAAAAGTTACCTGGTGTGATTTGATAATAGGAAAGAACTGCTGCAAGATCTTACTTGCCCCAGGAAAGGAGCTGAGTTGCTTTTGCCCTATGCCTGGCACTCATTCTCATTTCCACAGGGAAGGAAGTCTGCAGTGATGGGATGATTCAGCTGTGCAGCAGGAGCACTGCAGAGCAAGAAAATGCTCTGCAATGGATGGGGCAGCATTCCTGAGAGCAGCCCAGAGCCACTGTAGCACACTGCTGCCCAGGACAACCATCAGACATCCCAACAGCAGCTCAAGTTGGCCACAGCCATTTAGGAAAAGGGATTGCTGTGAAATGAAAAGTGTAAAATAGAGAGATCCTAGTATTATTCTCAAATATCCAAACCACTGCATGACTTGTTGGATATTCAAGAGGCAATGGCACAGGTCAGGCCACATCACCATGATCAGACAATCACCATGGGACAAAGGAATCACCTTCAAGGCAGTGCTAAGCATCAGATGGAGATGCCATCTAAGCCACAGGAAAAACTGTCCCAGTATTCTAGGAAAAATTGTTAAGAGACAACAAAGGTTCCCTTAGCTGGCTGTGTGATATAAGAAACCAAATTCAGAGCAGGCTGGGCAGGAATGATATTCTGCTGCCATGGGATGAGGATGTGATGCAGTCACCCACCTGACAATCATTCCTCGGGAGCAAAGATGAAAAAGGCCTGCAGACCCCAGGCAATGGCCAAAAGCTAATCCAGAGCCAGAAAACATGGCACAGAAGCTGCTGGATATTTAGCTAAAGCTAAGGATGAAGACCTCTAAATCAACTGGACATAGGCTTTCTATCTCTGGGCTCACTAAAACAGACAGTCCCTAAAACAGACAGAATTTCCAGAATACCAAATGCAGACATAGATAAGTCCTATGCTCATGCACTGGACAAAGCTTTCTCTCCCTAAAATACATAATTATTTTAAAAGGTAGCTCATCTTTTAATCCCAAGCATCAAGTTTCTGTGACATTCTCTGCTCGAGCACCTGACTCACTGAATTACATGAAAGAGGAATTTTTAGTGAAATGTAGAAAACCTGATGTGCAGATTGTAAGTATAGCTGTATATATGACTTTGAATTCAAGAACATTTGAAGCCCTATTGTATAATCTACATTTATGTATAATCACTGTACCTCAAAGTGGATTTTTCTGGTTTTAACAAAGCTTAAACCTTGTTATTCCACATTTTCTTGGATTTAAGGGGGTAAGAAAAAACTAAATGTTAAAAGAAAACTCAGTTCATGCATCTTCAAAATCAATTATCTACAAACATTTAAAAGTACCCATAGCAGCAAATGATCTAGTAAAACTACTATTTAAATCAACTTAAGCTTCCAAACTCAATTTGTTAGCAGTAATGGGCAATAATAAATAGGAATGCAAAAAATATAACCAAAGAAAATATTGTGAACTTAAACCAATTCTTCAACAAGAATGACAATCTCTAAATTGGGTGCAACTAACAGGTTAGCAGTACACAGAGACTTAAGCATCATAAATAACTTTCAGCTGAAGAAGCCCAATAGGATCTAACTGCAGCTGCAAGCCAGCTCATTTCCCTCTACCCACCACCACGTGCTCCCAGGGCCCATCTCTGGCCAACTCCAACACTTGTTAAAACCTCCAGATACCTCACAGTCAGCAGAAAACACATAAATACATCATTTTTGGATGAGTTTTCTGGCTAAAATGGTTTAACAAAGGACCTGAGTTACTCAAGAAAGTGGAAAGATAGAGCAAAAATGCACAGCTGGGCTGGAGAACTGCAGCAGCCAGCACAAGGATCAGTTTAAGCTGCCAGGGCTGCAGGCTGAAAGCGTGCCCTGGAACAGGAATGAGAGGAAAGTAATGGCTGTCACAGATTTGCTTTATGACTGGGCTGTTTTCAAGTTAATCACACACAAGCCCAAGCACAGTTTACAGAGCTGGGGGGTAAGAATGATCTGAGATACGAACAGTAGACTATATCAGAATAAACAGATCTCAAACCCAAGGTATCTTGTTCAACAGTTAACTTCCAAGAAATGATCACAGTAATTATTAAAGTATGTCTCAGAGAAGAGTTGGGTAGAAAAACCCCAGAAGCTATTGACTCATTGCCAGCCAGTCGGTCACAGTCCATCTTATTCCCTGCCTCCTTGGTGCACCCACACTGCTCCCACTACAGCAGGTTTCTGGCATTCACTGACCCCTCAGTGAGTTGATTTTACTCACTAATTCAGCAAAAAAAGCCAACTTGACAAAACAGCACATAGTTCTCTACTTGCTAAGCTGACAGGATCAGCTTGGAGGATCAGGAGCAGACCAGGCCAGTTCAAGGACATAGAAGACTCAGGACTTTCTTCTTGAATCAGCACATGAACATTACATAGGCTCATGCACTAAACACCCGCTGAGCTGTGAGCCCCTCAAAGCTTCTGTACCAGCAGCAAGCAAAGGACTTGGGATAGCTAACCATTGCTGAGGACAGGAGCACCAATTTTAGGTCCTGTTACACTCACCAACATTGTCCCACCTTTTTTTCCTTGATCTGACCTTTAATTATGCCTATCATTTCTTATATTTAAATTGCAAATTACTTGTGAGTTCTTTTTATGGATGGCCCTCACACCTATGGGACCTTGCTCTGTATAGGTCAGGTCATCAGATTCTACAACAACTTGGAATCAACAAAAATAATCATGCAACATCCAAGCAAATAGTACTTACACCCTAACACCACCGACGGAAATATACACCAGACTTAAGGCTAGGCGGAGAAGCTGAAATCCTTGCAAGTTGAAACAGCATTTGCAAAAAAAACCCACCCCACATACCTTCACTTTTGTCAGCCTGGCTGAACTCAGCATGGGGGAACACTTTGTGCAAGACCTCGAGGAGCTTGCTGAAGGTGCGCTCCAGGAGTGGCCGGATGACGGGGGACAGCGCGTGGCCCGAGGAGGTGACGGCGCGCTGGGAGGCCGGCACGATGTTCTGCATGGCGTGGTAGAAATCCTGCGCGCTCAGAACCACCGAGGAAACGTCCAGCTGCAGCTTCTGGCTGCTCATGTAGATCTGGGGGTAGCGGCGTCTCAGGGCAATCAAGGCAGCCTCAGTGCAAAGTGCTTTTATGTCAGCTCCACAGTACCCTAGTGCACACAGAAACACAAACACCGTCTGTGAAACAGCACTGCTGTGCCACACCTGCAGCAAACATGCATCCAGCTAAAAACAAATCAGGAGTATTTAATTGTCAAGGTTCACAAAGCATCTAACAAAAGGCATCATATCTGATGATTTGATATATATGTTGTATATATCAAGAAGTGTATATCAAGTGTATATCAAGATTGTGTATATCAAGTGTTGTGTAACAAGAAATCAGACATGTTTATAAGGTATACTAAGAAATTAATTCCACACGGAAGTTGAAAACCTCTCCATTTTCACTATATCATTTGGTATATAGTGTATTTCCAGTCCTGGGTTATAGGTCTGTTATTGCTCTTTCTTTTCCCTTAATATTGTCTAACGTATGTGTGCAATTTCAACAGGCTCGTTCCTCTCCTCCGTTTTTCCTTTTATACCTCCACAGGAATATAATCTTTAATAGCAAAGTAATTTTGTTACACTGAACATCACCAACGTTAAACTTTTACAGTCTGAGAAAATGAGCAGTATAAAGAAAAATGTTTCATGACTAGAATAGGGAAGAGATAGAATCTCTTGTTAAAAAAAGCATTACTCTGAATTCTTGGAAAAATGTTAACTTCTACTATGAAGAGAAATGTTTCAGACTTTTAAGAGTTTCATAACTTTACTAATATAACCAAAGGTTGAAATTAAAATGCATTAAAATTTTAATTTAGCCTATCTTCATAAGTATCTACAGGTGGCTACCTGTAATTGCTTAATCATCATTAGTGAAAAACATAGATCAGATAGTTATGAAATACAGAGAGACTTAATACCTCTGAGTCTTCTGCAGTACTAATGGTTTGGGGGTTTTCCCCAGAGCTAGAAATTAGATTTCAAGTTTTTCCATCTCTCTCAGCAAGACCCATCAATATGCCTCTGTATTTTGAGGCACCATAGCTCCATCTTTCAAAAACTGTAGAACAGTATTCCAGTGAGAAAAGTCATTTAGAGAATTAGAGTCACTATAGGAAAATGTGTTGCACTGAGGTACTGCCATATAAAAGGTCATGGGTTTGTAATGAAGTGTTTATAGAAAGTAATTAATCAATTCTTTAGTTAATTCTCATTCAACTGTTGTTTTACCAGACTTCCTCCTCCTCCTCACAAAGTCTTACATTACTTGCATTTTTTCTATTCTATTTTTGTATTAAAACCAAGGAGGGCAGGTTTAGATTGGATATTAGGAAGAAATTCTTTACTATAAGGCACTTGAACTGGCTGTCCAAAGAGGCTGCAGGTGTCCCATCCTTGGAAGTGTCCAAGGCCAGGCTGGATGCAGCTCTGAGTGACCTGGGACAGTGGAAGGTGTCACTGTCCATGGCAGGGGATTGGAATGAGACGAGTTTAAGGACCTCCCAACCCAAAGCATTCTGTGATTCTAGGATTGGTGTTTTGGCAGCACCAGGCTGCAGAACTGAGGCCAGCCTTGCTTCTCTCTCTTTAGCCTCTGATGTTCCTTCAGTGCCCCTGGCACATATACTGTTACAAGATCCATACAGAAATAAGAAACAAAGTTGATTCTATATACAGCGTTTAAAAATAAAAAAGGAAGCAATTAATATGGAGGACTGTAGACACTTTTCCATCCCCATCTTTCAGATATATTAATTTGGGGGATAATAATAAAAGATACACACTTTTCAGCTATAAAGGTGACTTAAATTGGACGTAACTTCAAATTGCACCTTTCTTATATATATGTGAAAATAATTTAAAAAAAAGAAAAACAAAAATAAACCCAGATGGACAATCACCATAAATATTGAATAATTCCTGCAATTTTTAAACCAAACTTTGGAATTTTATAAAAAGGTCAGTAGCTACTCTTGTATATATTTGGTGAGTCCACATCATGACTGTTACCTAAAACTTATATAGCAATTCACATTCCCAAGCTACCTTGAAATAAATAAAGAATACATTTCAAATATGTTCAGATATATCCACTATTTTAATCAATAGACAAATAATTGTTTTCAGCACTGAAGTTATGTTATTTAGGGTTTTTTAACTTTCATCTAACATGGAATCAAAACTATACAGGGACACTCCAACCACGTGAAACTATTAGACAGTAGCTACTGGTGCATCATTAAAACCAAACCAGGGTTCTAAATTTTGCATTGTTCTTTAGGTATCAGGTGTCAAGTTCCCATTTAAATTGATCCACTTCTCATCCAAAAACCACACTAGATTAAACAAAAAATGAGTGAGGGGAGTACTAAACCAAAGCTTAAATCAAAGATGTGCCGAAGATAGGCAGCACCCTGAATGGCTGCCACCTTAGAAGCTAGTTTAGTATCTTTGTGAAAAGATCAGCAGCTCAGGAGCCAGCTCCTTCCCAACTTTTCTATTAACAAATGCTGTAACATCACTTTCTAATAGTCATTTTAATCACCGCTTGTACATCTCCAAAGAATTGCAAAATTAGGAAATAATAGCCTGTAGCCTATTTTTAAAATTAAATTCTCAGGTGATCAGATACACAATTAGTCTCCATTTCTACCTCTCATTTCTCAGGAGCAATTACATTTGAAGACTAATAATTGGTGTCTCTTTTTGAGGGACTCTCTTGTGCATACTGTACATCCATTTCAGTGACAAGAAAACCGCAAAAATCCTGTACCTTGAGAAACATTAAAGAGCTTTTTATTGCTAAGAAGCAAATGCACACTGATTAAGCAGAAGAAAAACATAAGTGAAGTATTGTCAAAACAAAATAAAATGTATCATGCCAACAGTAAATAACCTGATGCAGATTGTACCCAAATTGACACTGTAATATAAATTCAGGGTTCAGTGCATTTGCTTCCATTTTTAAAGCATCTCAGGAAAGATGTTCAATTTGCCAAGTAAAAGATACTGGCAGACCTCAACTTAGAACAAAATGAGGATTCCTGTCAAGTAGCCCATTTTCTTCTACCCAACACCATCAAACTCTGCTGAACATTTCTGAAGTACAACTTTGAAAAAGCAGGACAGCAAATAAGTGGATTCCTACATAGGTTTCCAAAGAATGCACTTTGATCACCAAAATTTTCCAGCCACCTCTACTGTGCAGAAATTGTGCCCTCTTTAAAATGTCTTCTGCCTAAAACTCACGCTAAACCGACAACAAAGTGCTACTGAACAGGGTGAAGCATTTAGGTGAACAATTTTGACACTTCTTCCACTTTATGTTGTGCAACTCCCTACAAAACCCTCAAAATGACTGCAGGGAAAAAGAGTTAGCAAACAACTCAGCAAGATGACAGAGATGAAAAATAACTACAAGGTTTATTTTAAAGAACTGTGAAACACAGGAATGCTAATGCCAAAATCTCCCCCACTATCATTACATGAGGATGGGAATGAAAAATCTAAATTGTATCATTTTGCCACAAAACACTCCTGCAATAATAAGCACAGAGTATTTTTAAGAAGCATTTTCAGCAGAATAGTTTGTTTCTTTATAATTCTATTAAATAACATTATTTAAATAACCCTTACTACATTGCAAAAAGATTCATCTGCAAAATGCCAGATGGAGGAATTCACACTTTTTCAGTTGCTAGTATGTTTTGTTTCCTGCAAGACTGAGTTTATAGGTAAGTCTCCCTAGCTACAGACAGTTACCATTCCAAACAAGGGAATAAGCACGAGAGATAAGATGGGATTTATAAAGTGAAGAGTATTTGGGACCCATCTCCAGTAAAGAGAAAAAACATAGTAATTATGTGTATTTACTGAAAGTACTAACAGGACAGAAGTGTGAGGTCTTCTGAGCAATGCTGTGCTCTCCCCAAACTGTTTTGTCTCACACACACTGCAGTCACGAGGCCATTCAGGGAAGTGGAGTCTTTAATCCTCACATACACAGAAACCCACTAAAAGGTTGTAATCCATAACACCTGGGACAAAAATCAACCCTCAGGAAATAACCTATTTTTTGCAAGTCCTGGGGCTTTTCCCTTCCAATTTCTTTCTAATTACACCCCTGGCTCGTAAGGAGTTCTGAGTTGCACATACACCTGCTTCCCAAAAGGCATTTGCTTTGGAAGTATTTCAGCAGTTTTGTTCATTAGGATCCAAAACCTTGGAGTTAAGTTTTGCCAAGTCTGATGAACTGGAGAAAGGTATCAACCATGCTGTGCCAAAAGCTTGCCAAGTCTAGGCAGCTTTTACGTGGGGAAGAGAGGGTGTTGTTTTTTGGGGAGGAAGGTTGTTTGTTTGTTTTTAAAGAAAACTTGTGCACAAGAGAAATATCAGACTGGTATAAACTATATCACAGACATACATGTGTGCCAATGAGTACCCACTGGTAATGGCCACAAAGAATCTGGAAAATTCTGTTTAAATCTTTGTTGCAGATTTCACAAACAGAAACGATGAGGCACTCTCAAGGTGAAGAAGATACACCAGCCTTACTTCAGCTGTTTTGAAAAGACTTCATAATACTTCAAAGATTTTCATCTTGGATGTATGGAAACACTTAAATTCCAAGATACAGACTGGAGACTGTCAAGTGTGCAGTAGCTGGAGAGCAGGAAAGCCAAGGAAAGCAGAAAAGGATGTTTCTTTTTGTTAGCTGACTTCCACAGAACTGACAGGCTTTATGGAGCACAAAGAATGTCTTCCAGCCAAATGTACAAATGGCTTTCCCTATTGTCTAAAATTTTAAAATACTGTGTTCTCAGTGAAAAAATATGGTGAATTTTTAAAGAAACATTTGTGGGTTTTTTCCCACCTATTCCCCTCTCTCCCACTAAGCAGCACCACACGCTTGCACAATTGAAGCAGAATTTACATGAAAGGGGTTTGTTGTGTGCTGCTATACCCGGCAAAGCTAAAACTGGAGTTTGCTGGACAGTTATGTGTTCTCCTCACCAGAAGATGCTGAGGTCTTTGCGCATCAAAAGCAGAGGAATGCTGCTTCCATGAGAGGTGTCCCTGCGGATGAAGACGATAATTCGGATGTACTGCAGCTGACTGAATGGACTGATGTTCAGTTTAAAGTTCTTACATTCCCTCATGATGGATTCCAAAGCACAGATATTTCAATCTGCTCTTTGTCTGAAAACTTCAGTGCTCGTCCAAGCAGATGACTTACAGAGGATGTATCTTTGCATGCAAGTTGTTGAGAAGGTATTGTGGTGTGTGCTTTAGGGTCATTTCCTCTGTTAAATTCACTATACAAATAGTTGGGTTTGTTTCTGATTAGATTTAAACAGCAGGCTTATCTTGAACAACCAACCTCCATTCAGTACAGCAGGTCTTTGTGAGCTCCAAAAGCGTATTTAATGTAGTCATGTTGTGGTGTTTGTTTTCTCCCCTACCTATGTCTACACTTTGAGGTTGTTCTGTGCTAGCAATCTGGAAAAAAATTCATCTTTAGAAAGGCTGGTTAGTTTGTTGGATTTATGCCAGAGGAGAGCATGCCAGTCAGTAAAACACAAACAAAAATCAAAAATCCCACACAAAGTACTATTTTTTTTTTCTCAGTAAGTAGACAGAAAAAACCCTAAATCTGCCTATCCCTTTTGTAATTTACCAATTTAATGGGAAGTCTACCTAAAGATTCCAATTCCAACTTCATTTTGCTTCTCTTTAAGGGTATGCATCTTATATAAGGACAGTGACATCACAGAAAGGAAACATGGTTGTATTTTCAAGTGATGACTAACTACTCATTTTGTGTTTTAGTAAGACAGAAACATACTTGTTACTACAAAAACAGTATTGTTCGAAGTGCAGAAGTTTAGAAAAGCAGAGATAAGAAAATCTTGATACATTTAACATACCTTCCAAGTTTTACACAGAAGAGAAAGACTCTACAGTAAAAGTACTAACAACATAACACTCACCAACACATTTTTCAGCCAGTTCTCCTAAGAAAGGATCTGACAATTTGGGGTTCCAATCCCTGGTATGAATTTGCAAAATGTGCTTTCGTGCCTGATTGAAAAAAATAAATAAAAAAAATTAGATTAAAAAACTAGCAAGTCAAATCCCTATCACAGAAAAAAATATTCTTCATTTGTGTGAATCTATAGTTACTTTACCTACTTTTGGCATGTAACTGAGACATATAAAATAGAACTTAGCATTCCACAGTCTTAGCACTCCAAAGAACAAAACTTTTCCCTTCTTTTTAATTTCATATATAAGCAGTACTTTTTTTCACCAGTTACACATTTTAATTTCTGTTTGATCAACATTATTATACATGAACTGATCAAAACTCGTGTTCTATTAGGAATTATCATAGTTTTATGATTTCATTTTTAATTACTGCACCTATGAGTAACAGGTTCTACTGTCAAAGGCCTCACCAACTAACAGGTTGAGTAGCACAGCACATACACATGAATCCCAAAACAATTTCAGCTAAAAGTTCTATAGAATTTAAATAAATCTATCCATATACAAAGCACATTTAATTTTAGGTATAAATTCATGAAGTATTATGGTTGAGTTTATGTAAATTTAGAAAAAAACCCAAATGTTCCTGTTGCCAGGATTGTAATGCCTGGCTGTGAGTCTACATTTTTTACATGCTTAGAAGTCTACAAGATTTAAAGTTATTTTGTCTTACCATAAGTTTCCAGCCCCCAGATAGTTAAGGTTCATTATACAAATCCATAGTTTTGAGATAAGCAATACAGCTTATTGTGAATAATTTACCTCTGCCTAGCTTTAGCTATATCCTGAAGATCTGAAGCTCAATACAATTTCATGTATACAATCTGTTTGTACTAAAAATGTCTTCCTAAACGAAACATTCTTACAAACAAGAAGGAATATTTTTATTTCATAAGCTTGGTTGTCAGGCATTCAAATGTTTAGCATGCTACAGATGTTTATTAATAAATCTCCTTTCCAGGTTTTACCTTCTTGTCAGGCAAGTTGAAAAGAAATTCCCTGTCAAAGCGACCAGGTCTCCTGAGTGCAGGATCTATAGAATCCAGTCTGTTTGTAGCACCAATTACAACTATTTCACCTCTATTATCCAGTCCATCCATGAGGGCAAGAAGAGTAGACACTATAGAGCTACAAGAGAGTTTTCAGAATAAGAAAGTTTTAGGAACACTGCAAGAACTTCTGCATTTACAAATGCAACATTAATATATTCAAAAGAAAAAAGCTAAGCTACAAACAGGTACATAACAGTTTCAGGTGTCCTAAGTTCCACTGGCCTCCTGATCTGCTGGCCCCAACTTTCTCTCAGCAGAGTGGAGGGACATGGACACAAAAATACCACGACCTATAGAATGACAGGTACAAGTGTGTTGCCTTACAGAGCACAGCAAAACTGAGATCAACAGCAGTCACAAAAAAATTCAGCCAAGAGCAAACTGTTGTAAGAAATGTTCTAAAAAATGACAAGATAGCAACACAAGATAAGTTTGTATATCACACCATTAAGAATAAAAGTCACAGGTGAGAGTTCATTGATAGAACATTACAATTCAACATGCTAGAATAACATTTTTTCAACTGGTTATTCTATTGGGCTGGTAACAGACGATCTGTTTACAGCACAAAACAGCAAATCAAGGAATGGCTGTGGAAATCTTGTAGTTAATAATGTGGCTGAAGGGTAATTGTCAGTGCAATTCAATTCCCAGCAAATTACAGTTTGCCTGAAGGACTGAAAAGATGACTTTCAACACCAAAAAACCAATCTGTCCTTTCTAGTATAAGTGGGCTTCAGAAAAAGTACCAAGCTTTCCTGTGAAATGAGAAAAAATTACATTTTAAGAGTTTACCAAGATAATATACCCTATACCAAGATAAGGGCAGCATAGAAGAAATATTACCTGTGAATCTGATCTTGTCTGCTAGAACGAACCGGAGCCAAACCATCTATTTCATCAAAAAAGATTATAGAGGGTCTCATCAAGTATGCCTGGTATGCAATAAACAAAACAAAAATTGAATTCACTGTTAATTCCTAATTTATCCATCAAAATTGAACATTGGTTTCACTAGGAAGCATTAACATGCTAAACTAACACATATATTGAGACATCTTTGTTAGAAAGTGTAAAGTCTGAAAGGAAAACTGAATTTCCAACTCCGGCAGTGTTTCAAAGCAAAGCAGAGTGCAGTCTACTTTGAGTAAGCAAGATGGCACCAGTGTACCAGTTTTACTGTGTGCTGGACAGGTTAAGGACAAACACACACCTGACACTCAGAAAACACAATCTTATCCACTCACAATCTGTTTGTTTAGACAGCTCTGTCTGACAACTACTTTTCTTTGAGCTACTGCTTTACTGCTTCGTGCGACTCTGTTCGCCCAATCTCTTCTAAGCCATAAAAGAACACTAAAATAGACACACAACCAAGGCAAGCATGCACTCCCCTCTGTAGCATTTATCTTGAACATGTCAGTCAAACTCAAACTGACTGGGTTTTTTTCCCCAATTTTTACCCAAACTACTTTGCTTCATTAATGAAGAAATCAAGAGACTTCTTCCTCCGAGTTTCCAGAGCAAGAAAAGCCACTGACAGCATTCCCCTACTCTTTTCATCCAAATATGACATTTGGTAAAATCCTACTTAAATTACAAAACTGAACAGTTATTTAGTTTGAATTGGAAATACCTTTGGCTACCTAAATCACAAAACACAACATACAGAGAAATTACATCAAGAAAAATGTATTTTCTTCTAACCTGATCAAAAAGGAGTCGAAGCTGACGTTCAGATTCACCAACCCACTTACTGAGACAGTCTGCTCCTTTCCTCATAAAGAAAGCCACCTTTTTGTCTCCTTGACTGCATTCATTAGCTAGAGCTCTAGCTACCAAGGTTTTACCTGTTCCAGGAGGACCATAGAATAAACAGCCCCTGAAGATAAATGGATCAACACAGTCACAAACTTATTTTACGTCTCCTGAAAAACTCCAAGTCAAATTTTATAATGAAGACAGGGAGCCTGGAGAAGAATGACTTAAGATCTTGTATTATTATTTTGTAGTAGTATTGTATTATACAAATGTTGTAGTATTAACATGACTTCATAACATCTGAGTTTGTTTTATGCTTTCAAATCAGTAAAACTTTGATTTGTAAAGAACATTAATCAAAGGCATATTAAGTTTCCAAAGGATTCTTCTACATTAGTTAAATACTACCTCTTCAAGTATTAGATTTTAAGTAATACCTTAATCAATATTTGTTACTTCTTTGGAATGAAGTAATTAAGTGACAAAAATACCCCCAATTTTTCAATTAACTTAAACACCATTTAAATCACATACCAAGATGCCACATTATTAAATATTATAATCCCAGTATACTATTATTGAGAGAAACATCAGCCTTTTCCTTGATCTAGTAAAATATTTAATAACATAATGGGAAAAAAAAGGCAAGGTACTCCTAAATAAAAGACATGAAAATTCTTTCTTTAACCAAATCACAAAGTTTACCTTCCCCCCACAAGAAAAATATACTAGGTTTTTTTAATTCTTCATCCTGCTCATTAAATATTCTGATACACAAGTGAGGTAGCAAACATGTAAATCTATTTGAACTGTAAAACACTTCAGGGAAAGAATCAACCTATGTGTTTTCAATTCCTCAGAGCTTAATTAAAAAAATACAACAGTGAGAGTAAATACACCTACCTTGGTGGCTGAATTTTGAATTTTTCAAATATTTCTGGATAGAGAAGAGGAAACACTACCATTTCCTTAAGTGCAAGGATATGATGGCTCAATCCCCCTATACTATCAAAACACACCTTAGGAAAAAAAAAAAACATATTAAGTTTATATTGTAACAGCTTTCCACAAAAGCACCTTTACTTATAAATCATATGAAAACAAATTTAAAAAAATATTGCATTGATCAACAGGATTTCCCTGAATTTTGAATGTGTGAAAAACCAGCTAAGAAAGTCAACTCTTGGCTGCCCACATGAGGCTCATTTGGTTTTCAAGTTAACTGTGCAAGGGCTGCCTGGACATCTACAGAGATCCAGTCTAAGTCCCAGAGCAAATGCTTTGTAGTCCAAAGGAATAAGGAGACAAAAGCTTTGGTAACAATAAAATAAAATTTTTAAAAATCAGTGAGCTTTTTCATGAATTTACTTCAACATCAATAAAAGGCTGTGGAGAATTCTGCTTATGCATAATTCAGGGAAGGAAGATAAAAAGCTCTAACAAAACCTACCGATTTATCAACAATCATTGGGTCAACATCAGCCAAACTCGCCCCAACTTTCACACGTTCCCGAAGGATTCCACTAGCTAAGTCTTCTGCTCGGAAGTTTAGAGGCAGGCACCTGTTCAACAATAAACAAACACCAAATAAATACTGCTTTCATTGCTTGGAGGTGAAGAAACAAGAGATTAAATACCTTTTACTACATAAAGAGATAACCTTCCCAGACTGGTAAACAAAACTAATCTTCTTTTTTTGTGGTAACTATGGCTATATATCTGGAAGTTCCTTAACATTTATGCATCCATACACACATTTCAATCTGAAGAACTAGGCGGGATAGATTATTTTGATTGAACACAGAAGAAACAATATTTGCTTCCCTTAAGCCCCTACACAGATACTACATCAGGTCAACACATAGTTAAAGGGAGGAAGAAAGGAACTAGTAAGAGACAGGTTACACTCAGAACTACACTTCTGGTCATTGTACGTTGCTTGAATTCCTTGCAATGGAAAGGGAACAACGTGGCAGACAGGAAGAGATGGAAAAAAGATGAGGGAACTTTTTTCCTGCAGAATTTTCCTACCTAGTATGAGTGAACAAATTTACTTATAGATCTTCCATTTTTAGATTACTGCTAAATACATGTAAGGTCAAAAAAATGTGCATTAGGTGTTTAGAATGCATGAACTCTTACACAACAGGACGAGTGAAGAGCTGAGAGTACAATTGAATTAATTAGGACAAAGTTACACCAATTTTAACCAAGAGGAGTTGATTTTTATAATCCAACTGAATCAAACTGCTACTCTTATATTTCCATCTTTTTATCACTATTATTAAGTACCTACTCATAAGACTCCAAAACCTGAATTGATATATAACCATCACTCCTCCTAAACCACATCTGCAGGTAATTACCAGCAGAATCAAAAGTCTGCAGAACTCATAAAACATAATAAAGTAGTTCTACTTGTTTTCTCATAAATAATAAGATCAAACAATTCTAAAGACCAAGGATGTTTTGATACCTATTTCTTGCTCTGGCTATGCTTTTAGATTTTCTTCTTTCAAAACGTTCTTCATCTGAAGAGGTTGTATCACTGCTGTGAATGGCGTGCTTCTTTCTCCTATTGAAGTGGCAAAACAAACAGAAAACTCAGTCTTTTTTGCAGTGGAATGGCATGTTTTGGTCCTTCTATAAAAATGAAACTGAAATGCTAAGTACAGTATTGTTCAGGTTAGAGATGCATGCAAATTCTAGCTTCATCAAGTATCAAAATAATCTGAGAGGGAAACAACAGCTCTTACTGCCACAGTGATTATGTGAATTCAACATGAACATTATTAGAACGGCAGAGCCCTGTAAAATGTGTGGTCCAGTCCATGCTACCTCAGCAATGTGATTTGAATATTCAGTCAATAAGCTGCAATTGTACTTAAGAAAATTTCCAACTACTTTTGCCATCTCTAACATAACAAACATACCGAAGTCTCCATACTCAGTTTGATGCTTCCTTTACACATTCTTTGAAAAAAATCCATACTTGACAAAGTATATAATCTCGTTTTACGAGGTTATTAATTCTGAATAGCAGAACAGGCTCTCAAAACACCTTTACTTCTAATCTGAATCCAAGTAAAATTACTATCCAAAGTCTCAATGAACCATTTCTCATTTTAGTATCACAGTATTTCACAAAAAGGAGTATTTCAGAAATAGTAGAGAATGTACATTAAATCTTCTGTACAAGAAAGTGTTGAATTTGATTTCAGTTTAAATACTCAGCCCTTTTGCATGAAGAAGTTGGTTGCTAGTAAAAACTCTTGGATTTTAAGTGAATATGGAAAGCTGCATTATTTGTATGAACATGACCAGTGCACTGAATTAACTGGTTTTTGCCAACGGATAACATGGTCTATCAATTTTACTGTTCAATGACCAAAAATGAGATACATTTCAAAATATATCAGAGAATATCAAGCAATTGAGAAGACTTCTTATGACAAGAAGGGATCAAATGAGGGCCAAGTAATGAGCAGGCTAAAACCAAAGGGATAATAACTTACACACTCTTCACATATGAATAGTAAGTACAAGTACAAATCCAGATATTACCCCAAAAAATGTCATATGCTCTTCAAGGACAAAAAACAAACCACCAACTCTTATCTGTATTACAGAGAAACTTCAGAATCCTAAGATTCAGCTATTACTTAATTTACTTTATATATTTTCACTATGCCATGAAATTGAGCAATAAGACAAGAGTTTCAGCTATGACTAGTTTTCATTTACTTGGATTCTGCTCATGGACAGATTTGTCTTTTTGAAGCTTTGAGTAAGTTTATTTTTTAAAAAATGTTTTAAGCTGTAATCTCATCTGTTTTGTTACATAAAGCCTACTGACAGTTTCCAAGACAACTTGATACATTCCAGACTTCTCTGACACAAAACATAAGAGTCAAAAATTATGCTTGCTAAATATTTTATTAAATTGTTGAAAATTCTTGCATGAAATTTGAAGAGAAAGAAAATAAAAACCATTAACCTGCTTTGCTCAGTTTTATAGAACAGAAAGGGGCTATTTGTTAAACTGATGCATTGGATTTAAATACTCAATATATGGCCTTATAGAGAAAGCTACAGTGTGCCATGCAGAATTCTTTCCAGCGTTGTAGCACACCTGTTTCCACTCTGTGTAGCACAAAGCTTCTAGTAGGTTTATACAGTGCCATGACACCCCTGTCTGGATGTTGATCAGGATCTGAATCCAGGATACAATTCAAGAGCCACTCACATGTGTGAATGAACTGTGCAACTAACTCAAGAATGGTTTGAAAATCAAAAGCTACCAAAATGTACCAAAGGAAAGCAAACAATTACACACCAGAAGACTGACATTTACCTGATATGGCTTCTTCTTGCAGGAGATCTGTGAATATCGAACAGCGTATTTTCTCTCTTTTTTTGATGAGCTGGCACTGTAACATCAATTACAAAAGAATAACAAACTAATCTTAATGCAGCACAGAAGTGCTGGATTATCAATTTTCATCAATAAGGTTATCATTGTTTCTCTAAAAGCATAAATTAAGGAAAGAATTCGGCAGGGGGCTTTGTCACTACCACCATACTTGACTTGATGCAGGCACAGGAATTTCATCCTCGCCCTCCCCAAATTACTAGAGCAGTGTATGTGATGGCACAGAATGTAATTCAACCAGGGCACTAGCATTTTGAGTTTATTTGCAGGACATTGAAGTCCATTCAGAAACCTCTTCAGAGCTGATAATATGGGATATCTTGAAATTTCACTGAACAAATAAACCACAGCAGTTCTCTATCAAAGAAATACTCTGTGATCCTCTGACTTGCAGAAATGGTTCAAAGCTGCACCAGGGAAAACTCAGACTTAACAGGAAGAAGCATTTCTTAACTGAGAGGGTGGTCCAACACTGCAAAAGGCTTCCCAAGAAGTGGCTGATGCCCCAAGCCTGTCATAAGAGGCATTTGGGCAATGACCTGAATAACACGCTTTTTTGTCAGTCCTGAAGCTGCCAGGCAGCTGGACTATATGAACACTGAAATACCTGAGATTTCTCATTTGTGATAACTGCTGGTATGCCATTTATGCACAGTTATGAATTAGGCTTACCACTCAAGAAGAGAAAAAGGCATAACAGTAACTATTTTTTCTATGGAGTCACCTAATTTGTTAGATTGCTTTCTGCCAAGTATTTCTTGACCTAAACCCCGTTCACCCCCAGCCCTGAGGCCAGCACAGGGTGGTATTTGGCAGAGTTCAATGAGGCAGCAATGCCACCACCACTGACAAGCTGACAGACTGTGTCTCAGCAGTCCCATCCACATGGTGAACCACGACAGGCCAGGGTGGAAATCGCACAGTGCTGCATCCCTGTTACTCTGTCAGGGGTGAGAAACAGCCCAACTATTCCCTCCCCACATCCATGGTACTCCTGCAGGTCAAGCACTGTCAGGTTCCTCACCTATTGGAGGGGCCTGGTATCTCTCAACAGTTTTTCTCTGTCTGAGATTATATGGCCGATCATTTTCTTCCCCCTCAGCTTCTTCTACTTCTATATCTCCATCTTCTTCCTGAGACTCTGTTGGGGGGTAAAAATATTTTCAGAACACTTCCACTTCATGTCAGAGCTACCTTCATCCTAAAAAATTAACTTTTTAATAGCCACTGAGAATTACTGCCTGTTTATTAATTAACACTAATCGTCAAATCAGTGGAAATTTGAAGGTCATGATAAATCTACAGCACATTGTCAAACTCCCTTCTAGTTTTTCACACAAGATTCTGAAAAGGCAAAAGAAAGAAAAATAAATGCAGTCAAAACAGCTTTAGCTGTAAAATACTTCAAATATCACTTCTATCCACTGTATTTTTCCTTCAATAACTATCCTTCAAATTAAGGATAATTCCTTTCATCTCTTTTCCCACAGGAGCCTCAATAAACCAAATATTTGACACAGCATGAAAATAAGTACAACTTTATGATTCACAGCATCATTTTTAAACAAAGCAAAGAACACAGAAATACACTTTATATACTTTGTGTATAAAGGCACAACATAGGTACATCTGTTAACAGGATCAGAACTTCCATCCATGGATCTCAGAACTAGGACTGCATTCTTATTCATTGGGACAAACCATACCTTCCACAGCAGTTTTAGTTAAAAATTGAGATGCAGTATGCTGAAACCTGTATGGATGCCTGAACTTTAAGTAGGATTTTTTAAGGAGCCCAAGCATGATGCTGATCAGGCAATCAAAGTTAGGCACAATCCCTTCTTTCCTGGTAATTTTTGAACCCACTGACCAGTTTCATTCAAATTTTTAAAGGAAAGTACAATTTCAAATACAGCTGTGCACCTACAAGCCTCCTAAAACGTCAGTGGACAGAAAGGAGACTTTAATTAATACCTTATCCCAAAGGAAGGATGCAGGCCTAACTATTACAAATTCTTTCTGGCAATTGCCACTCAGCACATGAGAAACACCAAGTCAGTTAGAACACACATAGTTGTAGACTACATTCACAAAACCCTGATTTCCACCAGAGGATTGTTACGCAGAATGGAAGGAAAGCTCCAATTACTTAGTATTAAGAAAAACAGAAGGAAGGAAATTTACTATACAAACATTTAGAAACCAGGCTTTGTTCTGCTTTCTGAAGTGCAATATATTACTATCTTATGGGAAGGATAACTTTGTTCTATAAGTATTTTGGACAAGCCCCCACTATTTTTTACAACCCCTACCTTCTTCTTCCCCTTCTGTGGACACTTCATGGTGGTTCTGAATCCCATAGCTATTTCTCCTCAGTGACTTCCTCCTTCTTTTCACTCGAGAATACATATCCATGTTTTCCTGGAATAAAATTCACATACACTTCCATCAGAAGTGTCCCAAGTAACTCAGTATTAGTCCCAGTGCAGTAAATAATGCTCCACACAATCTCTAGTTCTCAAGTGTTTTTCCAGCAGAGCTCTCCATAGGTAGACTACAAAAGTAGTCTCATATAATAGATGCTAAAGTAAATCTCTGAGACAGTACCTAGTCCACCTAATACAAAGTAACATCAGTATCAAGTTCTCATGAAAAAAGCAGATGATAGTCCCGGGTCCTGCTGCTTCCAGGCTACCAGAGTATGCTTCAAACCAAAGAGCCACCACAGCACATCAGGACAGCACAACAATGAATTTATCAATAAAGGAAACAATGTAGCGTATATCCACTAATTTAGTTCTGAATTTTAGTTTATCATGTTTTTTTAATGTTATCCATCAAAGAAAATCATAAACCTTTAGACAGAGCTATAGATAAATGTATGGTGTTTGCAAAAACAAACATGCTCTGCACTGATATGACTTTTATCCAAGATCTCAGAAACTCTGCACTTACAAATTCAGTGTCTGTCCACATCCGCAGCCGTTCCACCTCCCCAGATCGCCTGTTCCTCCTGATGTTAATATTATCCATTTCCTGCAGGACAGCTTCAGCAGTACTAAAGTATATGCAACAGTTAACACACACAAAAAATCAGTCTTTAAACAATGCCATGCAGAACTTTGGACATAGCATTCAACATCTTAAGTTGTCTATCAATTAACTACAAACCTAACCATAACAAAATTGAAAGAATATAAACTAATAAGTATGTAAAAGAAGAAATGCTGATGCTATTAAAGTCTGGAGTTCAAATTAGAGAGTAGTATTTTAACAAACTTTTAAAAATAATTTGGCTCAGTATAAATTGCAGCATATAAATCTGCAACTGCTGAGACATTAGATTAGGTGTCAGACAAGATTAAATTTGAAAAATAAGAAAGTAAAGCTTTTCACCTATATAATTATAATAATGGGAATGCAATTAATGCCTCCATCCCATAAGATTTACAGTTTCTTACCCTGGCCTCAAAGAGACACTAGAACATATAGGCTTTTTATTAAATCAGTAACATCTAGAATCTCATCATTCAGTATTTGACCTCACGATCATTTCTCATCTACTATTTAGTCAGCATTTTCATTATCTGGAGTATTTGTAAACAGCTGTCAAAACAGCAGTGGCATGTAAGTGATAACCCTGGCCAAGATGCTTCACTGCTAAAGAAGAGAACAGCACAGTACTAGCCAGGCCAAGTCAATTATTTGGCCACCTGTCCTGAAGACCATGTTACTGCTCTCCATGGTGATTACAGTAGCTTTTAACTGGAATTCTGCTATATTTGTACAATATTTGTACAAAGACAGAAACCTCCATTTCCTTTTCTTCAAGCTGTTTAGAAGTAAATCTAAACAGTCAAAGACTGCCTAGAAAGAAGACAGTGGAAGTTCTGGTGATGTAAGTCAGTAAAGCCACACTTTCATTATGAGAGCTCCTCTCCATTTTAAATAATTCTTCCAAAATATCTGTGATGAGTGACAGAACTATTTCAAGTAAAATCACACTGAAGTTTGCTACCAAAGAAAATAGGGTTGGAAGGGACCTGGAAAAGTCAACATGCTCTGCCAGGCAAGAGCACACTACAGAATGCCTAAATCATTCCTGACAGACTTTTGTCAAACCTGTTCTTAAAAACCTCCAATGATTATGGGACACACTGTTATAAGTAAAAGCTCATATACAGACTTCAGTACCATGATCTTATCAAATTACAACTTCATGGTAGACTTTTCCCTACTGTTGATGAGGAGAGGAAGATTCAATTGCAACTAGAAAAATAAATGTAACTCAATATAAGTTTGCACACTGATACCAAGTAGTTACTGAGTAAGTCGGAAAAAAAAATAAATTAATAAAAGATTCAACAGAATACATTTAAAAATAAAGATCATACTTGACAATTAAATGTTTACATCATTTTCCAGCTCTGGAGAAAGCAGTCTCTCAGAGATGTGACTGCTAAAACCTGTTTTACAGGTGGGAAGATCAGGACATATTAAATGACCTGCCCAGGGCTAAAGAGAAATAGTATTTCAGAAAAAGCATTTCTGGCTCCCATTCCTATGCTCAGACCAGACCGTGCCTCCCTGACCTACTTTGTCTGCACAGTAAATGTCAAAAAGTGACACCCACCCTATGTGAATTATTAACAAATGGTAAAAAACAAAAACAAAAGAAAGTTACAAACTTTTGATATTTTATGATCAAATCATACAAGCAAAATCTAGAATGCTTCCAAGCACCGCTGCTAATCACCAATTTACATGACATTTAAGGTGTCACTACATAAACAGGTTACCAAGAAACAAACTAGGGTGTGGATTTACAGCCCGTCAGGCACTCTGCAGTAACTGCCAACACACAGCTTTATCCATGTGTAAGGACAGAGTAACTTACTCCTCAATGAAAGCCTGGGAAGCTGCTCTGCATTTAGAGCATGGACACCATGGCAATCACAGCCCAGACCCAGCTGTAACTCAAACCACAGTCTAGCTTGTCTCAATGCATCCCCACAGTAAAACACAGACATGGCACTGGAACACAGGGGTTTCTAATTTTAAAAAATCATTAAGGTGCTTTGTGAATACAACTGTAGTATCCCCACATACCTGTTTACTAGCTGATCAAACAATAAACTCTGATTCAAAGTTTCAAATCTGTTTTTCCTGGACCGACAACTTTTTCTGACTTCTATATCTCCGTTTATGCAAGCATGGTCCCCATCTCCCTTTTTTTCCCCTCGAAGGGGGTGGCTTTTGAGAGCTAAGAGAAATTTGTATTACTACTTCAAAATGCAGGAAACAACATTTTCACAAACAAGAATTAATAAGAGAATACGTAGCAAGGACAATAAACCAAAAGTTATTAAGCATAGTATGAACTAAAGAACTGTATTTAATTCCTATCAAAGTTATTTTAAAAGTTACTTCTGCATATTCAAGCTTGTTTCCTTAGATGATAATTTTATTTTATGATGAAAATTTGGCATTCAATTAAGCATTCAATATTTTTAAGTTAACATCAATACTAAAATGCACACTTGGCCCACAGTTTCAATTCTTAGTCTTTCAAATATAGTATCAAAACACCAGATACAATATACTGACTTCACAAGCAAATCTATACCAGCTACTCTGTATAGTGCCAAACAAAGAGATCCCACTGCTAATTGTTCCTTAGGCACCACAATAAATAATAAAATACCAAATATGCCTAATGAAATAACACTTTACATAGAGTCAACACAAAATTAAACAAGACAGAACTGATGAAAAAGGGACACAAAAGACAAAGTGATTTTAGCTGAGATAAGCAATGAAATGGCAAGTTTGTAAGGTACAAGCTTTTAAGAAGACTGTTCAAGGTAGCAGGAGCTGCAGACAAGGCAGGTCTCTCTAAAGCAATAGAGTTAAGTAATGTTAAGAACCACAAAAGGCCAAATTTCAGATGAGCAAAGAGACTAAGTAAATTAAAGAGACCAACTGAGAGAGGAAGGCCAAAATTAGCTCATAACAGTAATTTGGGAATTAAGGAAAACATCAAGATCATGGCCAAGAGGTCTGAATTGAGAAGAGAAATGGATTTTCATCTAAAAATGTTCCCCATATCCACAGAGAGTATCCAAGATGGCAACAGGAAAATCTGAGCAGAAACTTTTCTGGTCAAAATGGCCAAAGGAATCAGTAAAGTTATCAAAAACGTATGCCACTGAATATCATTGACATAAAACTATTTAATGCAAAAGCTGATACAAAAAGCTTTGCTATAATTTACTTACATAAGCTACGTCCATTTGGTAGTGTAGCACCAGGCTGAGAAGTTAGCCTATGGGATAATCAGACAAACAAATAACATTAACATTCTTTAGCCAAGCAAAAGGCACAGTGAAAACGGAACTTTGACTGTAAAATGCTCCGTGATACTCTGATTTCAAAACCTCTCCAAGACAAAGCCTTGGAAGAGTCTACTTCATGCCCAACACCTTAGTAAGGACAAAACTGCTCAATACCAATTGCATGAATCCCCCCAACGATCAAAGCACCTCTTTGATTAATCTCCCTAATCCTTCTTCATGCCCTTATGCTGTTAACTCTCTCCTTAAATTTCAGAATTGAACCTTGGTATAGCTCTCCAAAGGCAACCATCATTCCAACACTTTGGATAAACCAGTAGAAGTAACAGAACTTTTGGGAAAAGTCTTAGGGACTGAAGATCATTGTCATGCACAGTGCTTTGGATTTTGGCAGAACCAACATAAAACTTCATATGCAAAGACACATTGCAGTGGGTTCTAAATGAGCAACAATATGATTTTCAGTACCCTGGCCAAATTTCATTTGACATAATGATCTAAATTCTCCCAGCTGCATTAAATATTTCTTTTTGTATATTGACATTTCTAGGAGCTCCAGTACAAGTCTACTCTTACAAACAAAAGAAACAGAGGGTGCACAAGTTTCAATACATTCCCAATTACCATGGCACATTAATATGCTAGATTTAATTCATTCTGTTTTAAAAGAGAAAAATAAGAATAAGAAGAGGTAAATCTATCTTGAGATTTACACAGCTTTTAAGCAAACTTCATCCTAGCAGTCAAAAGTGGAGTAGTGACTTACAGTCACTCTTACATATAAATCATTTCAAGAATGATTTTGACATGTACATAAATATGAAATACATATCTGCAAAATAATCAGTATTAATTGAAAGTTCATGGATCAGGAATATACTGTGTACATTGTCTCACAGTTACCTGTAACCATGTGAGGAACCTTATGAATACAAGAATGCTTTGTAAAATACTATGAAATCATTTATAAAATAAAATTAATTACTTCTGCTTCAAGTTACAAAAATGTGGCGAGACTGAGGCTATATTCAGTAAAATTTACTTACTAGGCTGAAGAACATTAGAAATAAACTTGACTGTTACCCATTCCCTAAAGATGGTAACACTGATTCCCTAATTAAAATATCATGTCTTCTTATAGCTTGAGCACATAAAAATACCAATTACATTACTAAATTTGGATGCATCAAGAATCCAAAATTCAGACTGCATCTCAAATAAAATAACTTTTTTTTTTTTTGTACAAATATGCATAGAAAGGAAGCAGAGATGAGACAATTGATGCAATCCATTCCTGGAGTCTTAAAATGAAGAAAATTTTGTAAAACTAACATGTTTCAAAAGCACACTCCTGAGCTGCAGCTGACTACAGAACTAGCATAAATGGGATAACAACACAGAAAAAAATTGGTATAAGTTCCTTCTTCTTTTGGCACCAATTACCTGGACTGTCCAGCTGAGATGCTCCATTCCTCTCTCTGCCCAGTACCGCGTGATTTTGATTTGTCTTTGCCCACAGGATCAGCATGTTTTGAGGTACGTTTGGCAGGAGGAGATATGTGGCTATCACTCAAACTAGCATCACTACCTTCATCTTTCTGAAAAGAAAAAAAGCATCAGATCATACTTACTTGGCTCATTTGCAGATAATCCTTACAGAAAAAGGGTAAACTTCAGCTCAGTAAAAGGAAAGTGTCTGTCAAACTCTTAGTGACCAATTTGTGTGCAATATTAAAAGTGTTTATTCTGAAAACATTACCAGAAACTATGAAAATATATAATTTCAAATATTAAACTTCAATAACAGTTTTCCTGTATTTCTGAACAAGTATTGTTTGCATAACTCACTGTGTTTTTTATGTATGATACACGACACTGCTATTCTCACCTTACTTGCAAAAGAGCTAGTAAAGCCATAAGGAGAGAAAAGGACTGTGAAAAACTAAGATACTTAAAACCACAGCAATTATTTGTTCTGCTGATGTTGTTTTTGTCTTTAAAATGCTTAAACAAACACTCTTCCTTCCTGTAAGAGTTTTCCAGTATCTTGTTCTACCCATCAAACTATCCAGCACATAGCCAGGAGATGTCCAACATGTTAATTAACAGCGTTATGCAAATTAACCACATTACTCTTAACACCTTTTAAAAAGCACCTAAACAGTATACCAAAAGGGGCCTTTTTTCCATTGCATTTATCAAAGGTAACAGAGACAGAAACTCAAAGACAGTAGCAAGGTACACAAAAAACAGACAGACACCAAACTTCAGAGGATCTGCTTCTATTTAGATGAACTACCACAACAAAACATAAAACCAGGATTCTATTAGCTACAAATTTTAGCTCATCAAAACAGTCTTGATGCCATTCAGCGGCACCCTGGCCAAACCTCACAAAGTTTAACAAGTCCAAGTGCAAGGTCTTGCATCTGGGTCCAGCAAGCACATCCCAAGCACAAGTACAGGTTAGGTGGAAAATGGACAGAGAGCACCCCAGGGAAGAAAGACTTGGGGGTGTTGCTTGACAAGAAGGTCCCCACATTGTGCTCCTGAAGCCCAGAAAGCCAAAGTGCCAAAAGCAGCAAAATGGGCAGCAGGTCAAGGGAGGGGATTCTCCCTGCCTATGCCCCCACTCCTGAGATCCCACCTGGAGTCCTGTGTCCAGCCAGGGGGCTCACAATAGATGAAGGACATGAGAATGTTGGAGCAAGTCCAGAGAAAGTCACAAAGATAATCCAAGGCTTGGAGCAGCTCTGCTGTGGAGACAGGCTGAGAGAACTGGGGTTGTTCAGCTTGGAGAAGGCTCCAGGGGGATCTTAAAGAACCTGCCAGTAACTAAGAGAGCTGGAAAGGGACTTTTTAACAAGGGCATGTATTGATAGGACAAGGAATGGTTTCAAACCGACAGATGACAAGTTTCGGTTAGATATTAGGAAGAAATTCTTCCCTGTGAGGATGGTGAGACACTGGCACAGGGTGCCCAAAGAAGCTGTGGCTGCCCCATCCCCAAAGTGTTCAAGGCCAGGTTGGATGGGGTTTTGAGCAACCTGGGATAGTGGAATGTGCCCCTGCCCATGGCAAGGGTTTTCAAACTAGATGATCTTTAAGGTTCCTTCCAACCCAAACCATTCTATGATTCAAAAACTGAACATCCTTTATTGCAACAATAGAGAACCAATTTTCAAATATTAAGGTCCAGGAATTGTCAGTAAGAACTTGAACTATGACAAAGAGATAGTTTTACTTAAACACAAGGAGATAACCACAGAAGTCCCATTTGTTCATCAGGCTTAGTAACAACAACAATCTGATTTGTACTCCAGATACTTCAACATCACATGGCACATACTCAGAAAACTTTAAAAAAGGCTTATCTTTTAAGAGAGGAAGACAGAATAACACAGCACAGTATTTAGAAAGTGAAATCCAAATGTATGGGTGCAGTTTGACAAGACAGCTCAGCAGCACTGTGACACAAGAAGAGCCCATGCACTCCCTTGCCGGACTACACAGCACCATTCCAACCTCCTCGGATCTTCTTCCGATGTTTCTCTGAGCCATCCATAAAGCAGACCAGCTCACTAAAGCTTCAAAAGCTCACTTTCCTTCTTTTAGATGAAATTCCTACCTTGTTGGTGATCTTAATCATTTCACTGAGAGATCACACAAGTACAAAAGATGATAACTACCACCACTCCTAAATGCAAAACACCTGCACCCTGCATAGCCCTACAAAATACATGGGCAGCACCTCACTGTTCTCCATAACACTCTGAAACTACAAAATACCAACTTTGTACAAAATTTTAGTAGCTTTCATATTCACTTCTGAACACTGTAAGTATTTGTGCATATACTTCCTGCTTTATTATCAGTTTACTTGTGAACTTAGAGAAATACAACCCTGCTTAGTAACTACTTTCCAAAACTACACAAGCTCCCCTGTGAAGGATAGAAGCAGAGTTTCAAGGTAAGCCACAGAACCAGTTTAAAACCGGCTAAACAAGACAGAGAAAATGAAACTAGGAAAGATGAAGCAGCATGTAACAAAGCTTTACAAGCAGTAACATTAAAACTATTTGCCAGCAGTGAAATTAGTAATGCACAGATTCCTATATTCCATCTCCACCCCTTTTCATGCAAAAAGCCAAACTCCTCAGAGTCCCCTATCATCACCTTTCTCTGCATTTCCTCCAGTGCCTCGCCTCTGGTCCCAAGTCTTAAGTTCAGCTAGGATCTTGTCCTGTCAGCTTGCAGTTAAAACAAAATACTGACAATGGAGACAAATTCTGCTATTTCAGGTCCCCCTCTGCTACAAATATTCACAAAATTCATAAAAGTTGAGTATCTTTGAGAACTCTAATGCGGCCAAATGAACATATACTGGCAAATAGCTTCAGAAACTGGAAAAGCAGGCTGTCAGTGTGATCACGTGAGCGATCAGTTCCTTGCAGCTGCCTAAGGAACCAGACTAGCAATTAAGGGGGTTATTTAATTAGGTTATTCTTTGTTTAGGCTATTATTTTCAGCTGAGCCTCACTTGCCTGCATATTAACTCTATGCACAAACTCAGCAAGTACAAACCAAGTTAAATCTTAAGATACTCAAGTCCAAATACTAACATATATTGGAGTACATGCTGTGTAAGATGCACTAACACAAAAAATGTTTTATCGTGAAGTAGTGACAAAGCTACTATAAAGTTGAAATCACTGGAATTTTAAATACATTACCAAGAATCCAAGCTCCATTTTCCAGTTAACAGACAATTTTAAAAATTCAAGCTCTGGGGAATGAAATCAGACTACTATCCAGAACCTTCACTACCCACAGTAAAATACAGATATAGTTTTCATAACGCTCAAGAGATTATCCAAACTGGGATATGCTAGAACAAGGAAGAAAATTAATTTCAGTTTGGGAAGCCTTTACAGAGAGCAGTCTATCCACTGCTTCCTCCCATTTATAGCAAAACAGGTCTAACGATTCCACAGCAGTCAGCTTGCTCCCTCAAGGAACTGGGTCTCAAACCATTTATACCTTTAATGATTAAAAATAGCACTTCAGTTTCAACCCAGAAACTTATTACTTCAGATTAGATATCCTGAAAATGTTCAGGGACTAGAAAAATATGATACAAGCATCAAACTTAAAAATTAAGAAATTAATAATGCAATTGCAGAAGTAGGAACCAAGGCACTGCACTCAAAGCTCCTAATGAAACACTGGCACTGAAGCAAACACACTCACATGCTGAGAGAATGCAGAGAATATGAATTAATAAAATCTTAATCATGTCAGAAATTGCCTTCAAGCATACCAAAGCAACAAAGAAAAAGCAAGCAGAGAAAAATCAAAAAATGACTTTATATAGTGTCAGAAGGTACAAAGAAAGAAACAAAATTTGGTCCAACTGCATTGATCCAACAGAAAAGAGAGACCCAGCAAACTCCATCTGTGATCCAGAACAACCAGAACCACCTCTTACAGAAAGCACTCTTGCTACAAATCGGTAAGGAAATAACTGGCATTAACAAGATACCATCCATGCTCTAGACTGGCAAAACACAGTCTTATCTTTGGATTCAAACGTAAAATGGAATGTGACAGCTGAATGAATACCACAAATCAGCTGCTGAGCTAAGAGTCAATTTAGGCAGAGGCAGTGGGGGCAAACTGGTAACACACCTTCACTGAAGGCACTTGAACGATGGTACTGATTTATCTAGAAACAAAAGTTAAAATAAGTAATAAAGCAAGCAAACATATATAGCTGCCTATTATCTCTATGCCTTCTCTGCTTTGTATGAAAAGGAGAAAGACAGAAACACTGTTTAATACCTATCTATGAGCAAGCTACGAATACACTGGTATACATTATTACCTGCAGTCTCTTCTCTATCCATCCCTAAATTTCAAGACACTAATTTGATACTAACAGTTTTATTTAAAACATGTAGAGTACTTCAGTTTTGGAAAACACAAACTAGAAATCCATTAATAAAACTGGCCTTTTCCTTCTCAATTTATCCTCTTAGAACAGCAACTATACCAGCACAGTCTTTCAGCAAGACTGAAGAACACACATAGCAGGGCAGTACTCACTGACAGTGCCTTCAGGTGTATCACAGGAAGCAGTTGGCTAAAGCATGACATTTGATTAATTCCCAAGTGAAAACACAAAGATTACTTATAGCATCTTTGAAGGGAAAAAGGGGGGGGAGGGCTGTTTCTTCTGTTTAAGTTGAATTTCCCGGCTAAGAGAATAACCAAAGAAGTCTTCTTAAACTGCTGATCCGAACACCCCAAAATAATCCTAATCCAGTAGTCTTGGACACAGAGAATGAGTACAAACCATCTCTACCACTGGCATCTCCAAGCATGTGAACACAAGTTCACAGAGTTCTCAAGTAAGAGATGATATAACATTCAAACCACAACCACACCTTGCAATTTCTGAAAAAGACTGTCTGGTTTGCCACAGGTTCGTCTGTACTCAGACACAGGCATGCAGACATGAATATCTGAGTTATCCACCATGGTCAAACTTGCTGTCCTCGCTGTACAGTTTGTGGGGCACACCCAGCTGAGTGTC